CTCCACTGCAAAGAGAGAAGTGCCGAGCTGAACGAGGCAGCTGCTAATATTGATTCAGTATTTGGAAGTGTGGCCAACACGGACTGATCGGCTTCGTTCACTTCCTCTGCTGCCTTCGATAAAACTACAGACTGCAATTCTAAAACAGCGCAGAAAACTGATGCCTTTGTTCACAACTTCTACTTCTGTTCTCTGATTGGCCTGGTCAAAAATCTACCAGGGAGAATCCCCTTCAATAGGAGAAAGGCCAGAAGGAGCAGTGAAGAGAGATTGGAATTTAGAAACCTTTGGCCAGGCTAGGTTGGGACTTTGACTGGGCCATATTTTGCTCAGTCTCAAGTCTTTTTGTAGCCTCTAACTCACAGGTGTCAAACTCCAGTCCTGGAGGGCCACTGCCCTGCAACTTTTAGATGTAATAGAATAATTAGGTTATTAGCAGGCCTCTACACAAGAGGGAGGTAATTAAGCCATTTCATTCCAGTGTTTTGTACCTGTGGCACATCTAAAAACTGCAGGATAGTGGCCCTTGAGGGCTGGAGTTTGACACCCCTGCTCTCACTGGTTTTCTTCCAGTATTCTCCCGAATTTGGCTCTATTTTTCTCTCTGGTCTGACTAGCTTCCTTTCCCCCTCAGCTCCAATCTGAGCTGTAGATCCCTGTGACTCACCCAGAGTCTCCATGAGCCTCTTGTAAGATTTTCCAATGACATGATGTCCTTTATGTTGAGTGTCGACCCTTTTTTGGATTGATTAAACAAAGCTCAGTGGGACTTTCACAGCGCAGCATATTGTTTTACGACACATGACTGTGCTTCTACTGAGATCATGATACAAACTACTTCTCACTTCAACGCTCTCGAGAACAGTTGTAAACAGCATAATGTTGCGATGACATGCTGAAGATGGAGAGTTGAAGAAAGTAGTAGCTTCTTAAAGAGACAGAGGCCAATTTCAAAGTAGTTTGTGATGTCAAATTTCTTTGATGTCATGTTTGATATATGCAGCATTTTTATAACACCTGAAGCTAACATAGTCACTTGATTGTGCTACAAAATAATATACTTCCTCTTTAAACTTCTCCAGAACTTTTTTCCCTGACCCATCTGCTCCATATCCGTATATGCGTAGCGCACCACACTTTTCAGATATTCATCTTTAAAAATTCAAAGCAATGTCTCAATACTTTTTCACTTCACAATTACACACTACTTTGTGTCAACCCACCAAATATCAGTCCACTGAATAGGTGCATCAATACTGGTGTGGACTTGTAAGAGGACAAAATGTGGCAAAGCTCAGCAGGTATGAATACTTTAGCAATGCACCGTAAGGGTGTGTGTGTGTGTGTGTGCAGTGGTGCATGTTTGGTGTATGTTTCAGAGTAATATGACTGCCCTTTACACACCAACACACCACCTCGACTCACAAGCAGAAAGGGACGGTACATCCAGATAAAAAGCTAGGACACTGCCAAAGAGCAATAGCCACTAAATTAGAAAGCTGGAAGCAGACGCCACCTGGAGCGTGATGCGGACACACAGGTACAGCCGGACTGTAAGGATGATTTCTGATTCTGCCAGCAAAATTCAACACAGGGAAGTGTGTTCATTTTTTTTTTAATGTTTTTTAAATTATTTTTGTTTTCTGGCTCAGATATTTAGATGTAGACAAAATGTTGGCGCTTGATTTGACCTAGACTGTGACCATTAAGGTAATTGAACCAATCATATGTCACTTAAAATGGGAGACAATCTGAGTCTGTTTCCTTTCTCTCAGTTCGGATTGTGAGGGATTTTTTATTTTTTAAATAAAATAAATGTCTCAGTGGCTCAATATTTTTATGTGACTTCATGTGCTTCTCTGATGTTTTCTAGTTCCATGAGATTTTTGTATTGTGAACTTTTTAACAATACTGTAGGAATCTGGTTACGGACCAGTGATGAATACAAGCAGAGAGGAGACATGTTTTTTTATTTTTATTTTCATTTTTTAATTTATGTTAATGTAATAAGAAGCATGATACTGGGTAAGATTTAAATTTTTCACATGAAAAATCAGCCTGATTTATAACAGAGCACAAAGACTTTTGGTACCTGCCTTTAATCTGTTTCCCTCCATTTATTATGATTTGGGAGTAGAAATGAAATAGTTTTGGGGTGATTTTAATCCTTTTATAGTTTGTGTGTGTAAAACTGACTGAAAATCCAGCTGGATTGTGGATTACCTGAAATAAATGTTCTTGTCATGCATGCTGAGAAATGGCTATTATAATCTTTGGTGCTTTTTTTTTTTAAGTTAATGGTTTTTTTTTTTATTCTGTTCCTGATATATGAACTCTCAAATTAAAAATCAGTGTAAAATGAGGAGTGCACTTTTTCTGACAATCACCTTCACTGTTCAGACATGAAGGTATGATTTTTTTATTATTATTATTATTCAATAATTGGGTTTTAAAAGTTAAAATTTGCAGCATATTTTCTTTAATTCAAACAAGTTTAAATTTAAGCATCCAACAACAATAATATTTGGAGAAATGTATCTTACCATGTTGCAGAAAACCCACTTGGTTTTGGTTAAATCAAAAACTTTATGCTAAATCTTTTAATCTCTTACAGAAGAAAAACAAGATGATGTGTGTTTGGACTATTTTAATATTACGCTCGGTTGTGTCAAATTTCACCCATCCGACTGACAATGTGTTGAAATTAAATATGGCTGAACAGTCATCTTTAATGGCTAATTATTCCAGACATTTTGCCCAATGCACCAGTACCACTGGAAGCCAAATAGCCCCAAAGCATGATGCGTCCACCACCTTGCTTTACAGTTGAAACAGCTTGGCCAAATCCTTGAAAATAAAACCTCTGGCTTATAAAAATATGCATATGATCTCAGTCCCATAGAAAAGTCATGGTCAGAGCTGCGAAGCACCCAACAAACCAGGCTCAGCTGCACCAGCTCTGCAAGGACAGAGTGAGTCTAACTTCCAGCGAAACATTGTGAGAAGCTTCTGGAAGAAGAGCGTGGCTCATGTCATGCTGTTTCAAGGCAGTGCAACAAAACACTCAAGAATTGTGTGTAAACCTTTGAGTTTGAATAAAAGACTTGAAAATTTCCTTTTGTTGTGTTGCCATTTATCGAATAATGTTGGTAATCCTAACTTATGTGAAACAGGAAAAGTTACTTCAGATTTAAATCGGATCAGATCGTAAGGAAAAACAAATGCGTAGACTGCCTCATTTGAAAGTGATGCTAACAATTTTGCTAAATTACCTGAGCCGATAAAATCTTTATCTACTCTGAAATCATCCGGTCTGTGAGTATGGGACCACACAAGTCGAATATGGACACAGTGTTACCAGAAGATCCTCTTGTTGTGTTTTTTTTACCCAGAAGCTCAGGGTGGAGTTTGGGTTGAGCCAGGTTAGGAAAGTCCCTGCATTCTTCCATTTCTGGGCTGCTACCACCATTTTGAAGCACTGCTGCAGACAGAGTAGTCTGTGGTGCAAATCTGTGAGAAAGGTTCATGTTTTGAAAGACAAATTAGGCTGCGTAAGGAAACAATCCAAACCAACCTGGGCCTTTTCGTAGTACTTCACCTCCTCAGCTTAGAGCCACGTCAGAATGGTCAGATTGTGTGTTCTTTGTTAAAATGTAGACAAAGTTATTTCCTGTTTTTCAAAAACAAGATATTTTGTTTTGAAGACTCATATTGCTTTTATGGCTTTACACAAAAATTTGCTTTACTGGACTGAGGAGATAAAAAAAAACTCCACAGGGTTAGAAAAGTTGCTGACAACTTGACAGGAAGAAGATGTAGGAAATGACCAGAGATCAGAAATTGAACTCGGGTCGCCCCACATCCTTCATGTATAGCCCCTGATGTACCACACACACACACACACACACACACACACACTTACATTTCTCCACAATTTAGATACTGATGGTTCTAACCGTCATGTTTTTCACATGTGGGAGGAAGCTGCAGCACCCAGACAGGCTTTATTTGCATATTTTCTGAACATTTAAGTCCAACGTTTGAGATTCAAAATGTAGATTTAACATTTGGGATTTAGATAAGAATTCAGCATTTAAATTTAACATTTGCATCGAAAATTTGTTTAAAATTGATTCAACATTTGTTTCTTTTATGTGACCATGCTTCATGTATTTTTATGGGTCATTCATCTTTTTAATCATCAGGTGTCTTTTTTTTAAAGCGCTGTTCCTTTGTTTTCCCTGTAAAGCCATTTGAGTTAGCCTGAGTGTTAATGGTGCTATGCAAACAAACAAACAAAAAAAAGCAAAGTAAAAAACTTCCCTTGTTTCAGAAATGTTAAGTTTAGGTTTTACATTAATGTGACATTTGGATATGGCTCTATAGTTTAAATTCAACATGTGTACAAACATTTAATATTTGAAAATAACTATTTGGACATTTAAGTCACGTTAAATATTTTGATTTGCCAAAATTATACGAGATGTCGATATTTCATATTTTAAAACAGCTTCCATCTCCAGTGTGACGAACATTTGCCATGTGTGAGGAAGGAAAATGAGCTGAAGTGCAAAAGTGTCGGCTAAATGTTTTACATCAAAATTGAACACTTGCTGCTTGATATTTAGGGAACTGCAGCCTTAAATAATCACTGCAATGCACACAGATTCTAAACGTTTATTCACACTGTTAAATGTTTAAGCCAAAGGAAGGTGGAGAAATGTTTTGAAAATAAAATGAAATGTGTAACAAAAAGCACTAATGTAACAGTATTACTATCCAAAACATGCTAACTAAATGTGATCAGTCGTTATTTATTTGCTAAACTAGACTAATCATTGGCTCTGGGTGCACATTTAAAGTTACACAGCATCTATTAAGAAAAAATGTCGAAATATGTTGGTAAGGAGAACCTACGATTTATGTCAAAGTTTCATCTAAACTGGCGCCGGACAATTTCTGCTATTAATACAACCATTATACGACAAACGTTGCATAATGTTGGGTGCTTACTTCCTGTTTTTGTTATGAAAGTCCTTCACATATCTTTACAACAGACATGCACAGCAACAGAAAAAATAAAATCAGCTGCTGACCGATTACGGAGGAAAACGCCAAGCTTGAAAAATTCTCAACACAGATCAGGTCCTATAGGAAAGCTTCCGTGGTGCAGATGCAACTTGTTTGAATATTCCTTTAGAAAAGTTTCTTCTGTTTGATGTCCTTGCAGTACAACTGTTGACATCCCAAGATCTGCTCCTTATCCTGCAAGACTTTCGTGCACTAAAGCAGTCTTTGCATCTACTCTTTGTTGAACAAGAAATATGCTTGTTTGAGTTTTAAAGCTTATAAGCAGATGAGTGATGAGTTGTAGTTTTTTTTCTTCCCATACCAGCTTTAACTGGGCATCTCAAAGAGTCTCACTGAACAGTCAAATGTTTTTTGTTTTTTTTCTGTGCATGCACGGAAATGTGTTTAACTTTCGAGTTAACTGTACACATTGAGTATAATATTTGATATTACGGACTGAGTTCACACTAAACAGTAACTACCTTTTATTTATATTTCTGTCCACGCGTGTAGAAGCTGGAAGAGTTTGTTTTTGGTATAAATAGTGCAGATCCATCGAGACTTCTCCGTTCAAAAGTTGCTGAAGAGCTCCTGCTTCCTGCTCCAGTCCATAGGGGGCGCTCTCTTCTTGTTGCGGGTGGCGAGGACCTTCTGTCTCGCCTCAGCAGCAGTGGGGCTCAGGCGCAGGCCGTTCTCCGTGAAGGGGTCCGAGATGCGCCTGTCGTCATCTTCGGGAACCTGGAGTCCGTGCAGACAGACGGGTCATGATTCGCTCCGAACCGAGAGAGCCGCGCTGTCTCGTCTCTCGCTTCGCTCTTCACTCACCTGGAAGCTCATGTCCGAGCTGCTGATCTCCGACTGGGTGGTGGAGCTCCTGGAGGAGTGAGACGCCGAGCTGCCGTTGGCTCGGGATTTCGGAGACCCGTTTGCGATGTCGGAGTCCGTCAGAGTGACGCTTATGACGGGCGCGTCTGATGCGGGGAGCTCGGTGGTCGGGGACGGGGTCGGCGGGGTGCTCTCTGCACGTCTTTCATCCACGTAGACCTCTGTGGAAGTGGAGGCAAGCACAGTTCAGCATCGTCTCAGTGGAGTTGCGTGTTAGAGAGCTGGAGGGTTTTGGTTGACCTTTAGTGTGGGCGGTGGTTGGGGTAATTCCCAGTCTGCGGAAGAGCTCATCCGTTTCCTGGTCGACCACCAGAAGGCTGACTTCATCCCCTCTGGATCTGATTAGCGCCACCACCTCCGAGTGCCGCAGACCCTTCGTGTTTACTCCATTTACCTGAGATACAGAAGAAAAAAAAGAGTCAAGTTTATTCCTATAGCACAATTCAGCAACAAGGTGGTTCAAAGTGCTTTAATAAAAACATGAAACAAGCAATAAATATTACATTTGTTCAAATGCCATAAAATCTTCAAACACTTACACATCAAACATGTTGGTCAATCTTCTAGTTCCAACTAATCAAAGACAACTCTGAACGGGTGGGCTTTAGACTTAATTTAAAGGGACTTAGCATATATATGCAGTTTTCTAGGAGTTTGTTCGAGATTTGTGGTGCGTAGAAGCTGAATGCGGCTTCTCCATGTTTGGTTCTAGTTCTGGGCATGCAGAGCAGAACCAGAACCAGAAGACCTGAGAGGTTGATACAACGATGGCAGATTATTTTGGTGCCAAGTCATTCAGTGATTTATAAACTAACTACAAAGTATTTTAAAGTCTATTGTGAGGGACCAGACAAAAAACGAGGACAAAAAAAAAAAAGTGTTCAAAGTAGAAAAAGTTTCCATTTAATTTTTCCAAATTAACTGAGGCCAACCAAACTCTAACTGAACACAAACAAAACTGACCTGTAAACAAAGAAAAAAAAAAAGGCTGCTTAAGTAGGGGAGAAGTAACCTAAACCTACCACATGAGGGAGGCACGACATAACAAAAGAACAAACAAGTACAAAATTAACTAAAGCATCCTATAAAACAAATAAAGTAAAACTAACTTTAACTTAGCACAAATAATAAGTGAATATTTAAGTGACAAAATTAACTAATTAAGATCAACTTGAAACAACAAAGTCTCCCCCCCCCCCTTCAGTCTTTCAGAAAAACAAATGGTTTGTTCCAGTTTTCCTCCTCCAGCTGGTTTGTATCAGCTGGAGGATTGATTTTTTATTTTTTTTTAAACAGACCTGTGAAGACGCTGTTCTAGTAATCGATGCGACTAAAGACAAACGCATTTCGGTCTTGGGGGAACGTTAGTTCTTTAATCCTGGAAATGTTCTTCAGGTGTAAGAAGGCTGACTTTGTCATTGTCTTTATGAATTGTCTCTAAAGCTTCAGGCCTGAGTCGGTGCTGTCAGATAAGGTTCTGTCGGAAAGAGGAAGGCATCACCTGTGGTGAAACGCGAGAGGCGCGGTGCAGCGCTGCGCTGATGGTGTCTGTGATTTGAGAGGAAGCTGCTTTGCATGAAGTCCTTTCCTGCGTCAGCAGCACTCTCCATTTCTGCGTCATTAACCGAGCACTTGATGCAGACGAGAATGAAAACAAAGTCTCAACTGTGTAACGCCATCAATCTGCAAAGCTGTTACATACAAACTGGCATACGGGACCCTTCAAACCTATTAGCTGCAGTTTTTCACAGGATTTTCGGTATGGTGGCTGGTTTGGTTGGGGTTGGGTTCATGCAAGAATCTCCACTGAGCACAACATCCACATTATCTTAACAGCGTGTGTTTCCCATTTCTTGAAGAGTGGCCAAAAGGAACTCTTCAAGAAATGGGGACATTATATTTAGCTCCGATTTTCAGTGTAAGAGAATAGAAATTCAGTTAAGGCCTTTCACCCATCGTTGCCAGACGTATCAATCAGGTTGGAGAGCTCTGTGGATATCTATCCAACAAAGGGCAATGTTTAAAAGAAATGCCACAAAACTAAACATCATACAACCCTTGGTTATTTATAAGGCTAAAAAAAACATTATTTTTCCTCCAATAAAGCACTTTTAAACGCTCCTTTTGACCATCTTTGAGCTGTACCTCCACTATCCTGTCTCCAGTTCGGAGGCCAGCTCTGTCTGCAGGCGAGTTGGGGTCGACAGAGCGGACGAACTGGCCGCCTTTCTTCTTGTCACTCTGCAGGTTGAAGCAGTAGCCGTTCTCCTCCTTCACCAGGCGGCACAGACGAGGGAGGAGCTCCACCGTCGGCTCAGGGGACGGCTCCACCTGCAGCGGACACAACATCTTTGATGCTTAATGTCAGCCAACTTTTGACTTTTGACCAACTTTTGGTCTGAACTTTTACGCATCTTTTTCTATCCACAGTAAAACATGAAGCTACAACTTATTTATAGGAATCTTGGATTATTTGTTGTTTGTTTTTATTTAAAAAAAAAAAAACATCTGGACTAGTTTAAATTTTTAAATTTAAAACCTGTTTCCCTTCAGATTTCATTACAGTCTGATAGATGTGTTGGATCATGTCGTTGAAAGGCAAAAGTTAAAGTCATTGTGAGTCAAAGTGAAAAATTTGTTATTATTGCGATTGAATAACTTTTTATTATTATTTTGATCTCATTTTGATTTAATATTATTGATGTTCTGGTTTACAGTTCCACACAAAAGTATTGACACCCGAAGAACTTCTCCACATTTTGTCACGATAACCACAAACTTTATTTTATAGGGTTTTAGTTGACAGACCAACACAATTTAATGGATAATTGTCCATTTTATTTATTTATTTTGTAAAAAATGCCCGCCATATGTTTAGAAAATACCTTGTTTTGTCTATCATATTATATCAGAGTCTCTCCATGACCATTCCTTGAATCTAGGCTCAACTTCTGCTTTGAAAATAGTGGATAATTGCTACTGAAATTTTATATGATTTTCAGCTAAAAATATTGAACAGATAAGGAATATAAAGTAAAGTTGGAGTACATCCCTGTCAGCTTTATTGGCCTCACAACGATTTATATTTTTTAACCTGTTCTTCATTATAAAAAAGCTCAAATTAAGTCAGGTTGAGTGGAGATCATCTCTCAATATACATCTTCAGATCTTGCTCAGGATTCTCAATTGGATTTATGCTCAGACTTTGACTGGACCACTCGAACAAGCGAATATGCTCTGATCTCTACCACTCCACTGTGGTTCTGCCTGCTTGTTTGTGTCTTCTGAAGGTTTTCTTCCAGAGTTTTCCTGCATTTAGCTACGTCTACATTCCCATCTACTCTTGAGTAGCATGTTGGTGCCGTTGCAATGTGTCGCAGTGGGTGTGATGTCTTCAGATGTGCAGCGTTAGTTATTCTGCTGTAAATGGCGTTTTGCTTGTAGGCCAAATTTTTCAAAGAATTTTAAAGCAAGGATGGTTCCTTGCATCAGTTCAGGAGGACAGATTATAAATACCTGTTAGTCTCTTCAGATAATTGATTTGCAAAACTAAAGTAATAGATTGCGGTTTGTGACGATAAAGTGATGAAACGTGAAAACCTTTCGAGTAGCTTTGCATGACACCGTGCGCTATTGTGGGTCGTTTCCTGCCAGGCTGACCTGGTGGTCACAAAGCTGACCGAAGTCGACTAAGTGGATCTGTCTGAGCCATTCCAGCTGATCCCAAGCCTTGTGTCCAGCAACAAGAGCTGTCAGTCTGCGTGACACCGACTTGCACACCGACATCCGCAACAAGCCTCATGCTGGGTGTGTGTGTGTGTGTGTGTGTGTGTGTGTGTGTGTGTGTGTGTGTGTGTGTGTGAGCCCTACATGCTGCAGGGCTCACACACAGGCAGCGGCGCTTAGCGACCGTCTGGTGATGCAGCTGAGGATCTGCCTTCACGGTGAGCTGACCTGAAGGCTGGCGGCCCTATTTCCACCCTCAACAGCAGCAGAAAGAATGAAGGGAGTCTTTGTTGTGTGTGCATCTGTAAATACTATCAGTGAAGCGCACTGACCTGTTTCGCACTTGTGTTGTAGAGCTGCAGTTACGAAACAAAGGCTGGAGGTGGCCAAATACTAACATGAATGCTTGCTTTCAGTGACCTGTTCGTTGCGCTGACCTGTGAAGTCGTTTCATCTTAACAACAAACTCGAGCCGCACGCATTGCTCAGCCGTAATGAGCCAATACTTTTTTTGTTTTAAAAGAAAGAAAAGGATTTTTAATATATTATGTTGTCATAATAATCCCTTCAGTTATTGCTAATCATGACACAAAGTCATTTATAACTGCGTTTGCAGAGCCCTCTTAAAGCATACACACATTACATCCACAAATAACAACATAAGTTTATCTTTAGCTTAAAAAAAAAAAAATCAGCTGCAGCTGATCCAGAATGATGCTGCTCAGATTCTCACTAAAAGCAGGAACACGGAGCGCATCACGGCAAAGTCCTTCCACTGGCCTCCTGTAGCTCAGAGGAGAGTCCATAAAATACTGTTAGTTTATAAATCACTGAACGGCTTACCAGCAAAATACATTAAAGATCTCCTGATGTTGCAACCTTCCAGACCCCTCAGGTCTTCTGCTTTTAAATTTATCCTGCATCCCCAAAACCAGAACCAAACATGGAGAAGCAGCATTCAGCTTCTATGCTGCACAAATCTAGAATAAACTTCCAGAAAACTGCACAGCTGCCAAAACACTGAGTTCCTTTAACCAAGGTTTGAAACACACCTGTTTAGAGCTGTCTTTGATTAGCAGTGCAGATAAGGAGCATTGATTACTATATTTGTGATGCAATTGCTTCATGATTCTGATGACGGTATTTGACAAAAAAAATCATACTTTACCGCATGTTTCATAATTGGTTCCTGTGCACTTTGCCTTGTTGCTGAAATGTGCTACACAAATAAACTCCGCTTAGCTTGATTTTATACTAGAATGAATAAGGTACAGACCCCTTTGCTCTGACACACCAAAAATAAACAAAAGTCCGTCTGCATGTAATATAATCTCAGGAAACATTCTCAGGTTTGAACATCTCACAGATCATTGTTCAATCCATCATTTAAAACTAAGACAGAACAAACTCATATGTTTTATCGAGTGGAAAATGTAAAAAAACCAAAAGCATACATAGATTGAATAAAAAAGTTTGAAAAATGTTGTATTTCTTTTTCCATTACTTATATTTGTAATGGAGTTACTGAACCGAGCCACATGGAAAACTTCTCAAAGTGAGCTTTTACTAAAATGTATACATAAAATAAACAACTCAGTTCTACATAATCTGTGACCAAAACGACCAAGAGATATCAAATGTAAAGTTGCAACACAAACAATTACTAAAAACGTCGAGGGACACGCACACGTAGTTATGCAAGAGGCAGTAGATGACCTGACTGAGTGAGATTCGTGAGAATGCGTGTGTGTGTGTGTGTGTGTGTGTCTGTGTGTGTGTGTGTGTGTGAGAGAGAGTCAGCAGTCTGACGCTTTCTCAGCTGAGGTTTCGTTCATCTGCTGCCATCATAACATCACGCAGCCGTATTTACATGTTCAGAGAGGTGACTGTCAGTCGCAGGGCAGTGAAAGTGTGTGTCCTTTGTGAACTGGTGGCGTTCCTCTGGGATCCATTTGCCATTTTGGGTGACAAAATGAGACTCCATCTGTGCCTTTTTTTCAGATTACTGATTAAATACAAAGCACTTAACCCTTGTATGTAGAAATGGGGTCCAACCCATTTCTACATACATGATACATTTCTTCTACAAATGATACAAGTTAAACTTGTATCATTTGCCACAGTCCTCTACGTTTGCCTCAGTCCTGCATGCACAAGGGTTAAGGCAGGTGTTGATGGTTACATAACTGGTTCTGGTTGATCCCATGATGTTTTACCTCATTTTCCAAGCAATCGTTTAACCAAAACGGAGACGGACAGTTGTGATGCAGGGTGAGCGAACAGCCTTTATTTACTCTGCTTTCAGCTAAACACATGGCCAGTTTGACGTGAGCCGCTAGCCTCGCATATCTGGGCCCGGTTTGTTTGGAGTCAAAACAACGAGCCCGGTCCGTGAGAGTCAGTTCCCAGTCGTTCTGGCTTTCAGACGTCACGCTGAGGTCTGCAGGGCACTTGTGGAAATGCGTGTACCACACGCTGAATTTTAGGAATCTGAATGTGATCGTTTGCCGATTTTTTTCAAAGCAAGTGGCGCTAATTCAGCGGTTTCCAGCGACTGCGGCTCGTCTTATTGCGCGTGTGGTCAGCAGTTCTGCAGCCACAAGTCAGATGTCTTGGGATCATGTTTAATAGATCGACGTGGGTTTGCTGAATTTGATCGCTATCTCCTATTTTTTCCCCAGACCACACCCAAATGTTGCTCTAGTCTAGACTCACCTGGACTCAAACTGTTTAAATACATTGTAACAGTTGTGAAAGCAGAAAACTGACAACAAGAATTTGCTGCAAAAGTGATGAAATAGCTTTGGAAAAAAAAAGAAGAGATCACTTAAAAATGATCAGTTTCTCTGATTTTACTCTTTGTACATAAATGTTTGAGTAAAATGAACATTGTCCTTTTATTCTATGAACTATTGACAACATGTCTGAAATTCCAAGGAAAACTTTAGTATTCATTTAAAGAAAATGAGAAATGGTCAAAATAATGAAAACGATGCAGCGATTTCAGACCTAAAATAATGCAGAGAAAACGAGTTCATAATAATTTAGAAAAAACAACACTAATGTTGTAACTCAAGAGTTCAGAAATCAGTATTTGGTGGGAGGTTTTCAATGCACAGTGGGCTCTTCTTTTTTTCCAGAGATGTATTTTAAACTCCTAAATATCATGGTTTTATTTTTCTTGCAAGTAAAAGTCTGAAAAGTGTGGCGTGCATTTGTATCTGCTCATCTCTATTCTGATATCACTAAATAAAACAACCAAATCCTCTAAGAAGCCAGCTAATTAATTAATTTCATCCAATTGCATAAAACATTATTTGTTCCCGCGAGGCAATTTAAAAATGTAAAAGTCTCATTAGGAGAGGAAAAAATTAGGAGGTATTTTTTGTTGCTTAGGAAAAGCTGAGAAAACCACAATGCAACAAAGTTTTTTTTTTTCCTCTAAGCAATCCCAATATTCCTTTGTAGATCACATATACAGCTATGGAAAAGTTTAAATAATGATTAGATTAAACAGAACCCAATGAAATCTCAGAGATCAAAGTCCAAGATATCATCTGAGTTGTGGAGGAGCTGCACAGATTCACGGCTCATGTGGGAGAATCTTTTGCACTCTGAGAGTCTCATCTGTATGGTGAAGTGTAGAGAATAAAAGCTATTTAAAAAAAAAAAACTTAAGTTCTAGAAACTGCAGGTTGCCTTTTCTCAAAGGCCATGTAAATGAACTTGTAGAAAAAGAAGAAACAGACCGAAACAGAACATTCTAACTTAGATGCAAAGTGTGATGTGTGCTGGAAAAAAAAAATACTGCATGATATGGAGTGGCGGCAGATTCTGCTGAGGAAATGTTTGTTTGTTTTTATTAACGTGGGAAAGAGGGGAGCAGGAGAATAACTTTATTGCCTAAAATGCAACACCACAGCATTTCTTTAATAAATTTAAACCAAGTGAAGCCAAAGCTATAGCACCTGAGAAGTTTTGCCTAAAACATATATACAGATAAAAGTGATTTTATCTTAAATGCAAAAAATATTTCACAGTTCTGGGCTGAATTACAGCTCTGAATAAGTTTTTTTTCTTCAATAAAAGGGATTTTTTTGAGTCTGAATACTCTAGTCAACGATTAATTGATTAATTGACAATTATTTCAATAATCAATTAATCACAATTAATCATAAGCCCTAGCTGAGACCAGCATGGAGTTTACCAACAAATGTAAACTCACAGCCAAACCTACAGTGGAATGTTTTAGTTCAAAGTATATTCCTGTGTTAGAATGGTCCAGTCAAAGTACAGAGTTCACAGCCTGTGACTGACTCATGTTGAGCTGTTTTACCAAACAGGAGAAAACCAAATGTGATGCTCGTGGTTTTAAGTCATGGAGCTGTCCTCTCCGTCTTCACAACTGTACTTTGTGTTGGTTTGTCGCATAAAATCACAATAAAATACATTTAAAATTGAGGTTGTAACAGGACATAATGTGACAGGATGTTCATTTGTTTCAACATTTTTTTTTTACATTTATTTTATTTCGCCTCCATCTTTCAAGGATCCACGTTCTCGATGCCAGTGCTTACCTCGGTGTCCGGCGCTGAACTCGACGTCGTCGAGGCTCTCGTTTCTTTGTTTTCAGAGGACACCTGAGTGGGTGAGTCCCCAGCAGGAACATGGAAGAAGTATCTGAAGTTGGATTTGAGAAACAGCGGGGAGCCCTCTCTCGGTACGGGTGACGCTGAGGGCGTGGGGACGGGAGACGGGCGTGGGGAGAGGTTTCCCATTTCAACGGCCTGGTCCTCTGTGCAGGCCAGGCCCTGTCTGCGCAGGTAGTCGTCCGTTTCTCTGTCTACCACCAGCAGCCTGGTGCGGTGGGGCGTCTCGCAGATGCGGTTCACCACCTGCAGAGAGGAGAAACAGAGACGCAACATAAAGATTGACTGGATTGACACAGAAACGTTGTCACACCCGTCACGGTCATGGAGGAGACTGACAGTCGTCAAGCAGACAGTTTGCAAAGTTATTTTGGTGTTTGGAGGAGATTCACAATGTGAAGTGTATGAATGAAGCTTAAGGAGTCACAACACAGAGACTTATCAAGGACTGCAGCTGCCACGGCCACTCCTGAACCAGAGGCAGCTTCAGACGCATCCTGACTCGACCCGAAACTGGTCCAGAGTTGTCTTCTTAAACAAAAGTAAATGTTCTATTTAATTTGGAAACCAAGGTCCCAGAGTCTGGAGGAAGAGTGGAGACTGAGGCCCAGAATCCGCTTTGCTTGAAGTCCAGAGTGAAGCTTCCACAGTCAGTGATGACTGTGGAAATGTCTTCTTACTGGTTCTGGTCCACTGGTGTTTTCTGAGGTCCTCTGTCCATCTACCAGGACATTTTTTAGAGCACTTCATGCTTCATTCAGATGATGAGCTTTAGGGAGATGTTGACTTTATTTTCCAGCAGGATTTGGCAGCTGCCCACACTACCAAAAACAGGAAGACTGGACAAGCGAGATCCAGAAATGCAGCTGAGCCGAAGGCCAGAAATGAACCTTGGGCTGATCCCCTCCATGCTGCATTGATGCAGTAACACACGAAAGCACAACAGCAGAGCCAACCCAGATTTTTAAAATATTTTCCTAAAGGTCTCAGGAACCATTCGGGTGCTTTGTGTTTTTTAACTTTGCTCAACCATGGAGGTTTTGCCATGGATTCTCTTTTCCATATCTTTTTCCTAATGTTGAATCATGACAATGGACCTTAACAAGGGTAACTGAAGCCTGGGTTCTTCTGGGACCTCCTGGGTTGATGTGCTTATTGATGTGCTTTTGGAGAAACGATGGTCTGCCGAGCCTCCGGAAAGGCGCTCGACAGAAACATGTTTTCTCCTTTTGTGGTTAGAGGTTTTCACTGTGACTCAAAGGAGCCTCAAAATCAAACAAATGGCTTTATAACTTTTTCCAGATTGATTTATGTCCCGGGTCTGTTTCTCATCTGTTGGTGATTTTGTTTATATCAACGCAAGGTCTGTTTTTTTTTATTTTTATTTTATTTTATTTTTTTTAGATCTTTTAGTCTACTTCATGTTGTCAGGTTCTATTTAAGTCATCACTTGAATCTAATAATCTAAGCCTGGTTGTGGGAAGGGATATTAATCCAAAGTAGATGGTTAATTACCGCTAAAGTAATACGAAGACAAGCATTTTTTTCACATAGGACCAGAGGTGGGTAGAGGACCCAAAAATTGCACTCAGCTTGGAATAGCAATACTTCTACATATTTTTTACTTGAGTAAAAAAAAAAAATGCCGCCATCCAAGAAATTACTCAAGAGTAAAAATGTATTTGAGTAAAAAGTCTACAAGAACTGAGTACTTGATCAAATCATCAACCACTTACTATTTAAAAATTACCCCATCAGACAGGCCAAATATGTAATGTTATGTGGAAATTTTGGTATTTTAAAGATCAAAATGAAAATAATTCATATAAATAACGTAATTACAAAGTAACAAAATTAGGCAAAAGAACTCCCCCCACCCCCCAGATCAATTTCTTTCCATAACTTATGAAACTTTAACAAAAATCCCCCCAGAAATCCAGTACATCATAATTAAAAAGTTACTCAAGTAAATGTAACTAGTTCCCATCACTCCATAGGACCAAAGTTGGTCAGGATAGTTTCTTCATAATAAAATCAGTTTTTTAAAACTGGCTCAATGGTATTTTTTGGGGTTATTTTTTGTCTGAAAATTTATTTGAACATCTAAAGCATTTTTTCAAAAGCATAAACTGAGAAAATTGGAATTAGGACATTTTATTCACAGTAAAGCTATACATGAGTTTTACTTTTTGAATTGAATTGTCTTTTCTTCTTCTTCTTTCAGTTTCAGCATTTTGTCAATCTGTTTTGCGTCAAGTGAAATTTTAGGCTGCTGCAGAGTCCGCGCATGTTTCGGACCTGGAGCTGATTTAAAATAATTAATACGGCATTTGGCTCTCTCGGCGCCTGCAGGCACATAACGCTTTTGTGTCACGACAAAGACGAGCTGTGATTTCCATTCCACAGGCTCACACTGACCCATTTAGGGCCGCCCTCGTCTTCGGGCAAGAAAGAAAAAGTTGTCCGACAGGTACACAGCGCATTGTTCCTCTCCTGGCTCACCTTTACGTAACAAAATGTCACGCAGTGTGCAGTTAGTCACTCGCCTGATGATGACTTTCTTTTTCCACATTCTCCCCGTTCACCTCCACCAGTCGGTCCCCCGGCCGGAGCCCGGCCAGGTCAGCAGGGGAGCCAGGCTCCACTGTGCGGATGAACTGTCCGCCTTTCTTCTTGTCTCCGTGCAGGTGGAAGCCATATCCGCGCTGTCCTTTGATCAGAAAGCAAAGCCTGGGTCTCAGCTCGTTCTCCATCCCGGTGTGTGAAGGTGAAAAAAAAACAAACAAAAAAAACACAACTCAAAGTGTGTCCCAGGAATAAACAGGTAGATCTCCAAGAGCTTTGGGAAGTTTCTGGCTCCTAATCCAACGCGCCTCCACTCGCTCTAGAGACAAAAAGCTCATCGTCCTTATTTGGCATCGTACGAATCCCGTAATAATCCACAAAAACCTGAAGAGTGCAAATAAAAAAAAAATGGCAAACGCCTCCAACCCCGCACCCCCCCCTCAAAAAAAAAAAAACAATCTGGGGATTAATCCATTTTTAGGGCGCAAACGCGAGCGCGCAAAGTGGTGCGTAAAATAGAGCTAAAGGGGAAACATGGACACGTTAAGTCCCGTCCATCAGTATAATCCAAGAGATCAGAGATTAGAAAGCCGGTCCACGCACGTAACACTTAATTCTCCTCGCCAGCGGGGGCGTGTGTGTCCTCCTGAGCGACCCGGCGAGAGTGGGGAGGCGTCAGGAACACACGCCACTATCCCCCCCGCAGCGCACACCTGGAGACGCAGCCCCGCCGCGCTGCAGGCTGGCAGGACAGCAGCTACTGTAAATATAAAGGCGGGGACACTTATTGTTGCCCCCACGCCCACTTCGGAGCGGACAAACGTCGCCCTGAGCGGTGCGGCTGAAACCCGACAGGCTGTGACCTGAGAAATCAAATCTTCCCCATCAGTCCTCTGGCTCCGTATCTCTGCTGCAGATCACCAGAAGAGCGATTGCGTGAAAGCGGGGTGTGATGCACGTGAAACAAAAAGCTTTTCCGTGCGATTGTCCGTGCGTGTGTGCACGGAGTTCATCATATATCATTGAGAACGTCTCTCCTTCCTTGATTTGACTCAGATGCAGGGAAGATGAGAAGTTTGCATTTTTGCAAATGAGTAAAAAAAAACAAAAAACTTCCCAGACCTATTTTGAGTTTGTTCAACCCTGTTGGGTCATATTCCCACACACGAACAAGAGAGGAGTGTCTTTAAACCTTAAAGTTGTAGAAAATTAAAAGTGATGCTCGATTTTCACTGAAGTTTTCTTTTATAATTGCTTTGAGAAAATAGTGAAAAATGCAGAATTTCTAATCTTGTATTAAAAAACCCAAAGAGAAAAGCTAAAGTTTTGTTTGCTATTGTGTCTCCTGCTGCTTTACATGTTAAAGCTTCAGTGTGTAACTTAAAAAAATAAAATAAAAAAATAATCAGTCATTTCAAGTCTATCACTGTGCAAACACGGACAATTTGTAATTTTGGTGCAGAAAACTGCAAAATTACAAACCCCCCCCTGCCCCCCCCCAAAAAAAAAAACAAAAACAAATATTTTGGTGCTTAACTTGAACATATAAAGTGCATGGTAATGTATTTTAATATGTTGTGCATGACTATATCTCTGAGTGCATAGTGTCCAAAACAATGAGGAAGATACAAAAAGTTTACGGCGAAATTTCCAGTTAAATTAAAACTGATTTTCAGTTTTTCTATTACAACTTAAAGTATAAAACTTTAAGAACAACAACAAAAAAAAAAGGATTCAAACACGGCGCTACAAAAACTTCAGTTCTCACTTTATTTATTTGAGTTGAAAAAATAAAATAGTACAAAAATATTCCTATCAATCACTGCATGTGTTTAATTATGAAACACATTGTGTTTTTTCTGTCCAACATCATAAGTCAGCAGCTCAGTGTTGTTGTTTTTTTACACTCCTTCTTAGTCTGGTGGCTTCTGGTTTGCTGCCGACTTACTTCTGCCATCACTTTCCTGTTCAGGTTCAGATTCGACCTTAAATTTGCGCGATGGACCTGGAGAGCGTGGTGATCCCGGTTTGGGTCTCTTTGCGGGAGAACATTTGTGTGCGGATGGACAGCTGTGCTGGTTCAGACACACGGAGCAGAGCGGGCTGACTGGAAGACAAACCTGCTGTCCAAAACCAACCAGCAGCCAGTTGATCTCGCTCCACAGCTCCCTGCAACAGAAACAAAACAAAACACATTCAGGTGAGTTTCAAACAGACTTTTGTTTGTCCACCGGGGGGCAGCATAACCACCTGCAGAAGGAAACAGTGGCTGATTAAAGATATAACACTGAAAATCATTCGTAGAAAAATGTTTTTGTAGCCACCTGATGAACATAAAGTCTAAAATAAACTAAATAGTTTGTATTTATTTAAGTCCAGATATGAAAAAAATTCTGTATAATAAACACGGACAGAGAGGAAGAAAAAGAAAGAAAAATGGAAAAAGGAAGGAGAGTTATAGAAAGCAGGAAAAAAAGACAGACGCAATGATACAAATAAGATGGCATGGCATGCAGAGGGAAAGAACAAGAGCAAAAATAACTTGAACTAAAAGCAAATCTTTAAGTAAAAAAAGGCCTACAATCTGTGAGGTTATTTTTTTTTAAAAAGCTGTATCGGACATGACTTGGTTACCTTGGCAACCACTCCTCCAGAGCCTTGCGTGTGTCTTCTGGGTTTTTGGTTGGTTTCTTGAGCCAGCCCAGCCTGTTGGAGATGCGATGCACATGCGTGTCCACTCCTAAACACAAACCACCAGTGAAGACGAGTCCCCTCAGGGAGCGCGCTCACACGCATGCACACACACACACACACACACACACACACTCCTGCAGCCGTGGGTCAGGTTAGAGACGAGGTCTCTTAGAGAACGAGTTCGCTACGTTGTTCATCACTAACCACGCAACACTTTACTCATTTCTTATGACAGATAGCTGCATATATTTACATTCTGAAACTATTGCTACTTCAAAATGGCCACCATTAGTGATAAAACACCTATGCCAGACACTTGGTCCCAGGCGATGTCCATAGCCAGGTGGGCCATCTTAGGTCCGACTCCCGGGAGGCGAACCAGACCCTCCACGCTGTTCGGGATATCTCCCCCGAACTCCGTCACCAGCATGGCCGACGTCTGCTTCAGAAACTTCACCTTGTTCTGCAGCGGATTAGAAGGACGTTCAGTTTTGGTTCATAGCTTTTTAAGCAAACAGAAGAAATGAAACAAGCTGGTAAAATCGGGGGGCGTTACCCTCCAGAAGCCGACGGGATAGATGAGCTCTCCCAGCTTCTTGTCGTCGGTGGCGACTATATTCTCTGCTGTGCAGCCATGCGCCCGAAGCCTCTGCATCGCTGCGCCCGTCACCTGGTCCTTTGTCTGGCTGGACAGCATGAGCGACACCAACACCTGGAAACGCCTCACCTGTGAAAAGGGACGGAGTACTCAGCTTCACAGACACAGTTTATTTTAAAACTTTAAAACAAACGCGACGCAGCTCACGCCTACATGTGCGGGGGCTTGTGTGTCGTAGCATTTCTCAGCTCCCATGTTGTCCACTGGGGCGTCTCGACCGCTCCTCATCTCACGGATGAAACCCAACTGCTTCGTCCAGTCTGGAGGCTCCCAGTGCTCCGCCTTTACCCGGGAGGCGCCATCGTCTTCGTCATACTCCACCTTAACCTGTCTCCTCCTGCGACCGCGAGGCGGCGGCGGCGGCGATGACGCTTCAATCTCTGTGATTGGCCGGAGGCGTTCCTGGCAGCCATCTAGGCAAAAGAAAACATAAAAAATGGGACTAAATATGGCATCAACAAAGAGAAGGGATGCACAAGAATACATTTATAAGAGACTAAATGTTACAAACATGTCAGTTGTTTGTTCATTTCATGACAAATCAAATAATAAGTAATAAAGGGCTTGTGCATGAAAACTGATGGGCAGAGCTTTAATCAGAGAAGCAGCCAAAAGGTTCATGGTAACTCTGGAAGAGCTGCACAGATCCACAACTCGGGCGGGAAACTAACACTGCACATCCCCCTAAACACACCACCCCCATGGTGAAACATGATAGTGGCAGTATAATGGTGTGGGACAGAGTTAATGGGGAGAAGGATAAAGTTAAATACCGGGAAACTCTAGAAGAAAACTCTGTTAGAGACGACAATATATCTGAGATTAGAGTAAAGGTTCACCACTGCAACAAATCCATAGAGAAGAGAATGTGTTGCAAGATTTAAAAATCAGTTTGGCCGAAACTCTCTCCGATATGACCGAGTTTAGACGGTTCCACTGGCTGGCACTCTGAAGAGAGGCTCAACAAAGTTAGGACTTATTTAGTACGGAGGCCGTCTGGTGACATGGGAGGGAAAAAAAAAATAAAAAGCAAGTCGTAGCCACGACTTAACATCTCGAGGTACAACTTTTATTATATTCTTCTCCCTTGTCACCAGACAGACGGGCTCCGTACTTTAGACTTTACACATGCGCAAATAACCTTATGCAAAGTATTTAAATAAGGGCCTGTTTCTGTTTTGTCAGATTTATAATGTCAGTGTTTCTGGTGAGCCTAACGTGAACATACCGCTGGATGAAGGGGTCAAAGAGGGCTTCTCTTCGGATACTGTCGCCTCCTCCACCTTCACCTTCCGTGCAGGAACGGCGTCCACATCCCTCTGTCTGCTGCTGAGTTTGGACCTCAGAGAGGCCGCGGGTCCACCGCCCGCGCCGAGACTGCTGCTCCGGGTGAGAACAGAGCTGCTTTGCATGAAGTACGGAGAACTCATTTTCAAACTCTGAACTACATAACACAGCCTCGTCTTCCCACAGCGGACATTACGAAGCATTGCACAGGGCAGTACATGAAGTTGGTTTCAGGATCGTAGTCTCTCAGCTCCACGGGGGATTTATAGTATTATAAAACAGGTTTAATATGAGATTATACATTACTGTAGTGGTAATCTACAGATTTTTTTGACGAAAGGCAGCATTTTCCAAAATACAGTGTAATTTAAAAAAAACATTATTGCTAATAAACTTTTCATATCCAACAAAGGAAAAACCAAATGTATAATTCAAAATTTCTGAAGTTCCACCATCTTTGTTGTTGGATATTTGGAATGGCACATTTTCTAAAAATTTTGAACATTTTTACTTTTTTGTTGTCTTGCACTATAGCAGTGGTGTCTAAAGTCAGTCGTCAAGGAACAGGATCCTGCTACTTTTAGTTCAGTCCTTGGTTCAACACAGCAAATGATTGTAGAACACATTTGCACTTGTTTGTTCAAACGGAATAAAACATGAGACTAAAAAATAGAAAATTTCAAACAGAATTTTTTTTTCAGTATCTTGTCTTTTTTTTTTTTGGTTGAATCTTTTTTCAGTTTCTAATGTCTTTTTTCCAGTTTAAAATATTTTTTTCATTTTTCAAAATATTTTTTTCTGTTTCAAATCTTTTTGTCAGTTTCCTTTTTTCTTTTGAACACAATTTATTGCCCCAATTTAGCCCCACACAAAATCACTTTTCAATTTACCTGTAAACGAAATGTCAGGTTGTGTTTGAGTAAATGCACAAATGGCTTGCCATAAAAGCACCTAGAAGACGTCGTAAGTCAATAAGAAGCCAACTTCAGCAGTTAGCACGGTTAGCTAACTCTTAGGCTAATAACTGTAAAAGCTTCATTTTACATAGCTTGTCAAAGACTTTCCTACAATAAATAGTTTCACTGTGGTTTATAGAACCATAAAAATTTCGTACTTGTTTTGGAGACACGCTTTACTCACAATAAAAACCAGACTAGAAAAAATAAAAACACCTTCAACTGTCCTAGAACTCCACTTCCCATGAGGGAGCGCGGCAAGCGTGTTTTCAAAGGAAGTGTCGCTTGTTAGAGCATTTATGTGTCATCCGGTTGGGGAGTGGAGGTCTGAGAACAAGCTTTCGGCAACAAATAGTAAGTTATATGAATGCACAGCAGCAGCGGATGGCCTGTTTGGTTTCCAAAGGGCGAAGCCTCGGATAAATGAAGAAGACAGCGACTCCGCTTCCGTAAGGTGAGAGAAAAAAGGGGGCCAAGAGGTGTCGCTATCTAGTTTAGGTCCATAAATCTTCCAATACCAAAGCAATGTTAGCCTGTGTGAGGCATGGCAAAGCACAGCAGAGCCTTCAGCCGAGCCATTGTCCGTTTCTTATGATGGCGCACTGTTTATGGTGTCCTTGCAGTCATGTTTTCCTGTGGCAGGAGGACACCTGGCACAGATGTTGTTGTTGTTGTTGTTGGACTGAAACAGACCAACCGTTGTCTGGTTGCTCCCTCCCACCTTCCCCTCTGTCAAGTCCACATGACAGTGAACTCCTAAAACCAGCCCCCTGGGTTTACACATTTACAGGCTGCCGAGCTGCACTCCGGGGCAGCATTAAATGACCTGTTTACCATCTGCTGATGAATTTACGGAGCTAAGCAGGATAAAAACGACTAACCCTGCACCCGTTCTGCCCCTCAACATATTTAGCTCTTTCAGTCATTTAGAAAGAGCTAAATATGTTGTTTTCTCGCTGTTTTACATTTTGTCTTGTTAATCTCAACAATTTATAGTTCATGGAGTTCAAGTACAACACAGGAAACTGCTGATTTGCAACCTCTTATCACTACATCTGTTTTAAAAAAAACTAAGTTACGATATCCTTGTTTCTTTTACAGGCTGCCATCGGAGGCAGCTTTGAAGGACTTTCGCCATGAATAAGCAGCAAAGCAAAGAAACGCTCAAAGAAAAAGTGAAGGGGATCTTTGGGCTCGGGACGCAACGGCAGCAAACGAAGCAGTGTGACTCAAAGCTGCCAGAGTTTATAATCACAGCCGACATAATAAAGGTGAGTAAAACTGCGTTTCTGTACACATTTGTTCAGACTTTGTTTCTGGTCCTGTCCCCGGGCGCTCCTCCTTCGTCTCCGTCTTTGCAGCTGAGAGTTTCCATGTTAAATGCAGCTTGAAATACGTTGACTCTGGTGAGGTAGGAATCCTCTGTCGGTGCAACCAAGCCAGTATTTTGCAGATGTTTTTGTGTCTGGTGTCGAAGAGCCGTTCTCTGTGGTAATTTCAGACAGATTACACCATGAATTTAGTGAAACTGATGAAAAAATATCGATTGTGTTGCATATTTCAAGGCAGAATGTTTTAGTTTTTGTGGGCTTAAAGGTGGAAGTTACTTAGAAACCACAAACAGAAGTTTTGATTAATAAATAAAAATAAATTAATCTACTTATGAATATTTTTCATGGCACCTTTTGCTTTTTGTAGGAACTGCATCCTGATTGTGGCCTGAGCAACCGCATCCGGATGATGAACCAAATCTGCGATCTGGCAAAAATCAAAAAATTCGAAGAGGTGATTGACGTGTTTTTGTTTGTCTGCTATGGGTTTTTTTTTTGTAAGCAACATATAAAACCTTCGGTATTCATGAAACCTGTGATTCGGTGTTGTTCAGAATGCAGTGGAGGCTGTGTGGAAAGCCGTGGAGGACATGCTGTCCCCGGAGCAGCCGGCAGAGGCCCGACACGCGGTCCTGCAGCTTCTCAGGGCCATCATACAAGGACAGGTAGACATCATTCATCTTGTGCAAAATATGTCAAAACAAAATCCTACAACAACCAAACTTGGAATGAGAACAGCTGAACCCGGTGGCAAAGAAGAACGGCATCAGAACAGAGAACGTAAATCTGGGCATTGACGAACAATAGCATGCCCATCCAGGAAAGAAGGAGTGATAATGATGAGCTCATATGATGATTATTTGTTTAATGAGGAGGAGGAAAGAAACCAGTACAATTTTTTTCAGAGAGACACGAGATTGGAAAGGAAATTGAAGATGTGGATTCGGGACCCCGGGTTTTAAAAGTGGTTCGTGATGAGTGCAGTCTGCCTGTAATCCAGTGAATGGCATCCTGTGACAAAAATATTTAATAAAAAAGTTTTGGCAGATAAACGTAGAGGTAGATTTAGTCATTTTTTTCTTTACTTAATTATTATTCTGCATCACTAGAATGAATGAACTGTTTATCAAACCAGTGAATGGAAGCAGCTGAAAATCTTACTTTTCTACACCCAGTGACGTCCTGTGGCAGTCAACCTTAAGTTTTTACGGTCCATTGAGGGTCATATGATTGGTGATGCTGTTGCCTAGCAGCAAGAAGGTACTGGGTTCAAATCCTGGAGAAAATCAGTTTTTTTTTTTATTTATTGACTTTCATGAATCTCTCTCCCACTTTTCCTGCATAGCTTGATTGTTGGGAAAGAAAGCGTGCTCACTATTATCGTTCAGTGTGTTGCCATTAAGTGAAAAGCCCACGAAGGACAAACAAAATAGTTTCATTTGTGTTTTTTTTTTCATTATGCTACAGTAGGTTCCAGATTCCATGCAGTAGAAACAATGAAAAATTTAATTCCTCAGATATTTAAATTTGAAATAAGTACACAGACTTCAGACAACTAAAGCAGAAGGCTCAAACAATAAGAACATGTCAACACTCTGATGTTACACACACACACAAAATGTCATAATATCTCTAAAAGTGTCAGATATCGACTCCCAGAAAATGTCATTTTGTTCCAGTGAGTCCAAAATGGACTAATCGAAGTGTTGTTGTTTTTTTTGTTTGTTTGTTTTTTTTTTAAGGGTGAGTGGCTCGGTCCTCTGAGGGCGTACTTTTTTAAGGTGATCAGAGACTACCAACCCTGCAACGAGGACCTTTCAGAAAGACTGGAGGTGTTCAAGGCTTTAACTGAAAATGGGAAAGACATCACGTACTTGGAGGAGGACATAGGTAAAAAAAAAAAAAAGAGAGTAAATAAGTTCTTTTAACGAGCAGTTTTTTCTTTTGCATCTTCTCAACACACCAGTCCTAATAATAAGTTGCTTCACTTCTCATTTCCATTAAAAAGTTTTCATCTCTCTTTCTCAGCGCGGTTCGTCCTCCTGTGGATGGACATAGGTCTCACCTCAGACTTTCTCCATGTTCTTGTGAATTTGGTCAAGTACAACAGCTGCTATCTGGATCAGAACGTCTCCAGCATGGTGCAGTAAGTTGCAGTAACACATGGAAACGCCTGAGGGTTTTATTGACTTCTTTCTGTCAGACCCATTTCTGTATAGATGCTATTTTTTTTTTTTGACAGTTTGTTGGCATTTAGCACATATTGACCGTCTGTGCTTTCTGCAGGAAAATCTGTCTTCTGTGCAACAGAACAACATCATCCACTGACATAGAGGTTGGTGTTGTCTCTATGGTGCACTTCTTAAAAAAAATAACTTATTGAAATATTGATTTGTGTCCTTAAGACTTTTCTGCTGTCTGGCGTAAAATACCCTTCAAGATAATCCATATTGGATAAAGATTATTGATGTCTAATATCCAGATTTCATTATAAGACTTTGTGATGTCAGGAGAAGATGTGGTTTTAAATAAAAACAAAGAAAAACTACATCCTGATCAACTGTTTAACCCATTTCACTTTAATTTCTGACTTTTTTTTAAAAACTAACTAATAGCTAGTAATTTAGTAATAGAAATAAGCTTAATTATAATTAATAGCAACAGTAAGTTTAATAGGGACTGATCCTCTGGCAACCTACCCAGAGTTTACAAATGTATTAGTGCTCCTCAAGAACAACCAGTTACCTTAAAACATAAAATTTTGTCAGGTATCTTCTTAATCAATCTGCCCTTTTACAACTAAACTTTCAAAATAAATTATAAAGCTAGTAGTCATAACCAGTGGTGGGACTCGATTATAATATTTTTGTGTAGTTACGTTGCATGTTAGCGATGCTAATCATAGTTTTGGTTGTGTTTTGTTGCGTCCAGGTGGCACTCCAGGTCTTGGATGCCGTTGTGTGCTACAACTGCCTGCCCTCTGAGTCCCTCACCGTCTTCATTATAACGCTCTGCCGTACGGTTAACGTGAAGGAGTTCTGCGAATCCTGCTGGAAGGTGGCGAAGGGAACCGCTGCAGATAAATATTTGTTTTGATTTTAGAAATGCTCATACGTCTGGTTCTCATGTATTTTTATTTTTTATTTTTATTTTCCTTCTTGCTGCTGTGTGTCTCCAGCTGATGAGGAAAGTCCTGGGGACGCATCTGGGCCACAGCGCTATTTACACCATGTGCCGCATCATGGAGGAGAGGTATCGTCTTGTCATCTTTTTTCTTTTCTTTCCACTAATGCTTTTTTTGAAAAATAAATATTCTGGTGTTTAAAGTGGATTCTCCACCAGGGTGTACATGGAGGACGCTCCACTGCTGAGAGGAGCCGTGTTCTTTGTGGGAATGGCTCTGTGGGGCGCCCACAGACTCCCTGCTCTAAAAAACACACCGACACTAGTGCTGCCATCTTTCTACAAGGTAATCAGTGCATTCATGTTAATCTACTCGCACACATTTACAGCCTGAGTTGTCAGTATGTACATATTAATCTTCCTAATCAGACTTCACATGGATGTTCCAAACCTGAATTTTCCTCCAAACATGAATGTGCAGGATGACTCTCCTTGGCTGTGTGTCTTTGATTTGCCAGTGGGCCCCACTAGTTCCCCAGTTCTGCATGTAGCAGCCACAGCGTTTAAGCCATTGGAAGTAGAGAGGCGCTCTCTACATCCTTCGACTGAAACAGGCCAGCAGCCGGACGGTTTTTGGCACCAAAATGTCAAACTTTTCACAGAAACATAAAGATAGAACCCCAAATAATCTACTTAGTTTATTAGCGATGTTCACAGTGGGAGGTGTAAAGACTTCCTGTCTCATTCAGCGTTACGGTAGACCGAAGCAGAAGGTGCTTGTTTATGTACCGCTTTCTGTTTAATTGTAAGCCTGCAGTGAGCGGCGCTACTCAGATGAAACTCAAGGAGCTTGTCGAGTGTTTATATTTCACAACAGAGCCGCATAAAGTGCATTTTGCATCCCACACCGCACTCTGTTTGGACCGTTTCTCTTTTCCGTTTTGGTATGGCTGCCATTTTTTTCCTTTATCAACTGACTACAGTTCTTCAGGATGACCAGTGGCGCCCTCTGCTGGATGGCGGCCAAACTGCAACACTGAAAGAAGATATTAGACTGGAACTAATTTCAATCTAATAAATCATTAATTTTTTTGCCTTCCTGGTGGTTATTGCTCCAAATATTATAATTTCTGCCATTCTGCTCTTTTCAGATAAGCACAAGTATAACACTGTTATTGGCTGTTAATAGTCAGGGTGTCCTGCCTAGACTGCGATTGTCTGCTTAAAACAGACTATAGTTTCAAAACAAGAATAATACATGGTGCTTCTTTTGTTCCAAGTAATAACTTGATTCATTTTGAATCATCAGAAATATATTGAAACAGGTTAAATACTTAAGAGCAAGATGTAGTACTCTACTTTCAGCCAGCTGCCAGACAGCATGCAGCAACGGATGATGGAGAGAGAGGCATCGTTGCTTCACTCCTAGGCTATCTCACCTATAGCTCTTGCATTTAGGGTTTATTTAAATCAAAGCATACAGACGAGTCAGACGGACCTGCTGAGTAATAACTGTGGCCGCCTGACTTCTGCTTTCAGGCCATGTCATGTGCCAACGAGGTGGTGTCGTACGAGATCGTCCTCTCCATCACCAGGCTGATTAAGAAGTACGGCAAAGAGCTGCAGGTGGTCACCTGGGACATCCTGCTGGGCATCATAGAGCGGCTGCTGCAGCAGATTCAGGTTCACGCAAACACAATGCGCACGGAGAGGAGGTGGGAAATGGAACAGGTCTGTAGAGACTGAGCTCGTTTTTGTTGTTGTGTGCGTTGTCAGATGATAGGCAGCGCCGAGCTGAAGGCCATCGTTTACGAGCTTCTGACCACAGTGGAAGAGCTGTATGAGCAGAACGGCTACCACGGCTCCACAGAGAAGTTCTTCAGTCTGGTGGAGAAATGTGCAGACAAGAGACCCGTTCGTACTCCGTGTGCTGCCCTGCGTTTCTGGCCTCTCCTCCGGGTCGCCTTCCGTTCTCATTTTTGATCTCCGTGTGCGACAGGACGCCTCGGTGCTGACCCTCGTCTCGTACAGAGCGCAGTCCATTCAGCCTGCGAAGGACAGCTGGATCCAGAGCCTCCACTGCCTGATGGAGAAATTCTTCAGGTAGGACGCGCTCTGTCGGGAATCGGTTCACCCGTTTCGGCTTTGATCAGACTCCTGATGAGTCCTCTCTTTGCCACTCTGGAAGGAATGAGATGCGCAGTGGGATCAGGATCAAGGTTCTTCACATCCTGTCGTTCGTTCTGAGTACTAATCGCCAGCTCTACGAGGTTTGAACACTCATCTGCATCTTTCTGTAAATTCAGTGCACTCATCAGATGAAAGACTTTCCAGTGTGGGCTGGTTTCCACTTCAAAGCTATTTAAAAGTTAGAAACTGAACTAAGTAAGTTTTGATAAGTTTGATTGCTTATGTTAACTTTTGGGCTGCCACTCATGATTGTTTTAGTCATTAATTATTCTGACAGCAGATTAAAAAAATAATATCCTCACAAGCCTTTTTTATACAATTTTAGAAAAATAGCAAATGATGCAAATTAATAAATAATTCAATTCCTTTTCTAACTTTAGGCAATAAAATGTCTATTTTATTGTCTAAAATAGAACAACTCAGCATTTCTTTAGTAAATCTGAACCGGTTGAAGCTGAAACTCTGCTAAAGTATATTTACAGATAACAGTGTTTTTATCTTAAATGCAAAATGTGTGTATGTTTTATACGCTTAGGGCTTAATTACTGCTCTGAATGTTTTTTTTTTTCAGCAAATAGCTTTTTTCTTAGTCTGAACATTTCAGTAACAATCAATTACTAAATGTGTTGACTATTATCGATTATTTCAATAACCGATTAATCGTTTCAGCCCTGAATAATGTGATATAAAGTAAAGATTTATCTAAAAGCCCCTGCTTTTTTTTTTTTTTTTTTCATTTTGTTACTTCTTCTCCAGGACGAGCTCATTGAGAAGGTGGTGATCCCTCAGCTCAGTGGGATCGCTGAAGACCGGGACCTGGCGGTCAGAAAGCAGGCCACCCAGCTGCTGGTGGACCTCGCCGAGGGCTGCAACACACATCACTTCACCAGCCTCCTGGACATCATCGAACGGGTAAACGCAGGCGAAGACGAGACCTTGGAGGCGTTTAGTCGCTTCCAGTTCAGTCAGGTTGAAGTCTAGTTCTCCGTACAGGTGGCCAGTCGCTCTCTGGTTTGCTCCGGATCCCTGGAGGCTTCTGACCCCACAGCTGACTCTCCCATGGAGGATGTCAAGACCGCAGTGCTGGGGCTGCTGGAGATCCTGCAGGTACGTCTCTGGCAGCGATGCGTCCGTTTCTACAGAAATCTGTTATTGGTGTGGAGTTGGATCATGAAGAACTCTTATTCTGTCCTGCAACAGAGCAAACTTTACAGCCTGCCAGCCAGCCACGCCAGTCGTGTTTATGAGCTGCTCATCAGCCACCTGCAGCTCCACTACAAGAACAAGTACTGCTCAGCTGTCGCTTCTGCTGTTCGGCTGCAGGTAAAAACCAATCAATTTTCTGTTCACATTTCATCTCTGCTCAGCTCCGCCCTGCATTATTTCTTTTTTTTCTTTTCAACTTGTTTGTTCAGGTGTTTGACTTCTTCCTGATGATGCGTGCCGACTCTCTGCACCGCGTCGGGGTGCCCAACAAGGACGGAGCGATGAGGTTCAGCCCTTACTGCTACTGTGACGCCGGGTAAAAAACGGAAACGCACACAAAAGAAGCTCATCTCGCTCGAAGCGCCTGAATGTGACGAAGCCGTTTGGTTTTTCAGGGAGCCAGAGAAGCGGGTTTGCGATAAGAAGCCGTCAGGTTCTATATCGCCCCCTGCTGGCGGTCCTGCTCCGGCCGCGGCGGCTCCTCCTGCTTCAGCAGCCTCCATCCGCTCAACCTGCCTTCCCTACGCACCTGCCTTCTGCGTCCTGCTGCAGTGCCTCAAGATGGTACACAAATAACGCGACACAGTGAAGCCGCCTGCGTGTTTTATGAGATGATGAGGACAGGAAGGATTTACTGTGAAGCAATTAGTAATCACAGGGGTTTTAGACACATTTCTAGACATAAACTAGATCAGACTTAAAGTTTAGAGTTTTTATCATGTTCCAAGGTCTGTTTTAAAAACGGATAAAATGTAATAATTCTTCAGAAATACATTGATTTTAACACGGAATTATATTGAAAAGGTTTGTTTTATCCCATATTTTTCCACTTCGTTTTACCCCCTAATATTTTGGGATTTTGAGTTGGTGACTGACTCATTACTCATAATAACTCAGAATCGCATGAGTAAATATATTTGGTTTTCTGCTCCAAACAGGTCAGCGCACACAAGACTTTAATTTGGTTTCATTTATTTGTTTCCCAGGAGACGGACTGGAAGGTGCTGAAACTTGTTCTGGACAAACTGCCTTGGATGCTGCAGTACAAAGTGCTGCTGCTCACCTCGACGTGCAGCTTGGACCAGCTCTGTTCCACGCTCTGCGCCATGGTAGCACACGTTCACGTACACACACACACACACACACACACACACACACACACACACATTAATGAGTTCCCAAAACAGCAGTCGGTGTTGAGCCACGTCGTTTCTGTCTTAAAGGTGACGGATCGTCAGATCTCAGAGCGTTTGAAAAAGATGCCTGAGGGTTTTTCCCGCACAGATGTCCAGCTGGCTGTGGTTCCCGTTCTCACAGCGATAACCTCTTACCATAGCTACCTGGACCAATCCAGACAGGTAGACATTATTAGGTTTGGAATTTAATCATTTTTAGATTTCAGATTAACACGCAACCTTCCCGGCTTTAATTTCCTTCTCCTCCTGCAGAGAGAGTTGGTTCAGTGTCTGGAGACCGGCCTCATCTATCGCTGTGCCAAGCAGTGTGTGGTGGCTCTGACGATGTGCACAGTGGAGATGCCCGACATCATGATCAAGCTTCTCCCGGCTCTGATAGTCAAACTCACCCACATCTCTGCCACCGTTGCCATGGCGTCTCCCATGCTTGAGTTTCTCTCCAGTGAGTTCCCGAAGCTGATCTGTTTAGATATAATCTGAGGCTGTACGTGTGTAATGTTTGGTGTCCTCTGTGTCTTGCAGCTCTGGTGCGCTTACCCCATCTGTACGCCAACTTTGTAGCCGAGCAGTACGTCAGCGTGTTCGCCATCTCGCTGCCCTACACTAATCCGTCCAAGTTAGTCCCGTCGCATGTTAACCTGCATTCTGTCAGCTGCACAGGCTCTCTGATTTATTTCTGTTCGCCCCCATCAGATTCAATCAATACATCGTATCCCTGGCCCATCATGTGATCGCCATGTGGTTCATACGCTGCAGACTCCCCTTCCGCAAGGACTTTGTTCAGTACATCACCAAGGTGAAAAATTTTTAATGGTTTTATTACCTTCAAATTTCTGTGGGAAAATATGAATAATGCTCATATTTCGATCGGAAACAATCTAGGTGATCGGATTGGGCCAGGTCGGGTCAAAGTTATTTGCTTGAGGGTCGGGAAGATGTTGAACAGAAGATCAAAAACGAAAGCAGTAAACTCTTAATTAAAATATGTCTGTTTTACTAATTAAAGTTAATTAGTCAGGTTGTATCGGGCTCAGGCTGGGTATAAACTCTATTTTTTATTATTTTTTGGATTTCTGTGGGACATGTGCCACGTTTAAGGTGGAAAAATCCTCAGAATAATTTGTCTTGCGCGTTTACATCACATTGTCCTGGCATTTAAACCCAGAGAGTGGTTTGAAACTCTGTTCTCAATGTTTTTGCCTCTGGACTGACTCGTGTCGGCGCATTTCAGAGTGACCCCTGCGAACGTTTCTCTGCAGGGCTTGCGCTCCAACGCCTTGCTTCCGTTTGACGACGGACACGAGCAAAGCCCCTTCCGCGCGCGGAGCACCAGCCTCAACGAGAGACCCAAAAGGTAAAGCACGTTTCCGCGCTCTGCTGACGTAGCAGCCGGCAGCACCGCACACAGCCCAATGTGGCCGACGTCAGGAGGGACGGGGGTAAATACGCTGATGTGTTTAACCGCTGTGACTCCTCTCAGGTTGCCATGGTGATCATTATTCCTTCTACATCTTCTGTTTGCGTTTTTAAAATCGATTCTGTCACAATTTGTCATGCCAAGCGATTCACAGTGGATGCTGTTTTAACGTCATCACTTGTGTGATGTTGTAGCGTTTAATTTTTTTAAATTTTTTTTTAGCTGCTAGCGTCATATAACTCGGCTGTTTTTTTTTGTATTTTGTTTCTCACTCTCTACTTTACAATCATACAAACACCAGGATGAGATAAGAGAAGAGCTAAAATTTTTTCCTCTTTCTCTATCATTTCACTGGTGTTTATGATGAGAAACGCATTCTGTGTCCATGATGGGAACTCTGAGTTGTAAGCAGCCGTTCTTTGAGTAAGTTGTTTCTTTTTCGTTTTGCAGTTGAAGCAACTAAAAGAAACAAACAGTACACACATGGATATTGTCTTGGATGAAGTCTGTCCAGCTGAAATTGAATGACTCAAAACATTAAGAGCTGTAATTTTAGAACTATATTGTAAAATAAAAGCAGAAAAGTTATATTAGATATACTGTTTTATGGACTGGATCTTCATGTCACTAGAAAACTCAGAAAACACCATTGGCTGTTAGTTTTGCTCCCACCTGAACAGCATTTTAAAAAAAACAACATATTCACTACACGACTGTTGATTTTTCTTGCCTGAAAGTAACTGGAGCTAATTGGCAAATATTGCTCTATTGGAATATATATATATATATATATATATATTTTTTTTTTTTCAAGAGATTAGTTTGGTTTTGAACATAAAGAACTAAAGAACCTCATGGAAAATGCCAAACAAAAACGCCTCTTCCATCCTCCAAAATGCTTAACGAATGTGGTGTTTTCACTAATATTGGACTGATATCCAGTTTCAAGGGGTATTTGTAGCATTGCAGTTTGTCAAGTTGGAACCACAAACTCCTGTTTTGTTAATGTGACAGACTAACACAAAGTGGTGCATATTGGTGAAGTGGAAGCGAACGCATGCATTGTTTTCATCGCAGATAAAAACCTTGAAAGTGTGGTGTTCATTTTCATCTGATACCACTAGATAAAATTCAGTGCAACCCGATGTCCGGTCTTTGATTTTTTTTTTTTAGATCAAAACGTACTGATTTGGTGTAAAAGCCACTGAATGTCTGTGGTCCTTGGTATCAAACTGAATTGGTGGTAATTTATTTACCATTTTTGTCGAGGGCCTCTGGCTGCAGTTTGGACGTTTGGTGTTTGATATAAAATGTCTGTGGTTGCAAAATGACAAAATATGACAAATGCAACTGGATTGAGAACCTCTGCTAGGTTCTCTTTGTGGTTCCTCTACTAATATTACACCAATAATCAATATTATCTCCAGTAGCTCACACATGGCATCATCATCCTTGTGCTTTTAATGTCTGCTGCAGGATTGGTGCTCAGCAGGTCATTACGTTCATTCATTCTATGTTGGTTTATTTTCAAGATTTTTCTTTTATTTTTTTTAATCCAAAGCTTTTCTCGTATTCTTTAATATTTGACCTGCTTTTCTCCAATCCACAACTTTAGTCCAGTGGTTTGATTTTGGTCAATTTTGGATGTTTTGCTTACTATTTTGCAAAGCTTGTGCTTTAGTCCTGTCATGGCCCAATCCTGCCACAATCCAGTAAACGCGTGTTTACTTCAGTCTTATGGATGTGATCATTTAAGAAAATGGAGATAATTATTTAGAACAAATCCAGATATTTAGACTATTGTCAATTTATTAAATACGGAATATTAAAAAAAAACAGTTTGTGTGTTAAAATCATGTGTTTTTGTAGTAAAAATATTTTTGTACTTTAGTTCATGAAATGACAGACCAATGGCCTTTAGCAGGCTTTGCCCCGCCCCCTGACTTTGACAGGTAGAGTACAGATAAACACTTAAACTTGAGCATTTTGATTAAATTTAAATAATTTTATTTTAATTATTAGATATTATTAGTGTATTAAATGCAGAACATAAATAACATCTATAACATTTATTTGTGTTTTATCAGAACACAAATAAATATTTTCTGTGTTATCAGAAATGTGTTATGTGTTAAAATGTGAATATTTTAACATACTTCAGCATTTATTTAGCAACTTATTTATTTATGGATTGTGGCACTTTTGGTCCTCCATATGACCCACCCCTACTTCTATAATTCTGTGACATTAGTCGTTTCCGTCACTTTGAACCTGCTGAAATGTGCATTTTGTTGCTCTCCTGAATACTTCCTGTGTATTTTTTGATTTCTGAGTAGCAGAGGCTGTTTGACCCTCTGCTTTGTAGCTGGTGTGTTTTTTATTTTTTGGTTTTACCCTTTCTGAAATCCTCTTTTCTTTCTCCTGTTATCTGACTCATGTTGTTCACTGCTGTTAATTTTCACCTTATGTTTGTTTTTTGTTTCTTTATTTGACCCCTCCTCCTCCTCCTCTGCTGCCTCCTGCGATTGGGTGCTGCGTTGTGGTTGTGGTTTTGGGGGTGGTTGTGTCATCCTGGATCCTCCCCTCCCACATTGCTCCTGGCCCCGCCCCTCCTCTGATGTCTGTGCTCTGTGCCCCGCCCTCCTCCCCTCATCCTGCGTGGCGTTCGCCCCCTCCCCCGTCAACTGCTCGTGTCGCTGCGGTGCTCGGGTGATGATTCCTGCTGTCTCCTGGTGTACTTTTGAAAAACCACTCCTTCCACTATTGCTCCCAAACCACTTCCATCGTCACGACAACCCACCCCTTTACCGCCCAACGTAATGCCGACCTCGGCCCCCAGCCTGCGGGCTGGAAAAGTGGCAAAGCCGGCAGCATCTGTAGCCAATAGCAGCAGCTCTCCAGTTAAAGAGCTGAGGGACCTTTCGGCCATGGAGGCTTTCCGCTCCCGCAGCATCAGCGTCTCCGAACACGCGGTTCGCAGGTTAGAAAAGAATCTCCTTGGTAACGAAGCAAAAACAACAAAAAAACCAAAACAAAACCAACAGTAGCAGCTTAAACACTTGTTGCTTCCTCCATGGGATGGCTGATGGGGGGTCAGATGGGTCCGTCGAGGAGTCTTTGGGGGTTGTTGTAAGCAGGACCCCTAGAATGGGCGGTGCATGCTGGAGGAAGGTGTGTGTTGGCCTCTTTGATTTGTTTTCGGCTGTCTCTGCACATGTGCTGTTTTGGATTTTGTTCCTATGATTTGCTTTTGCATGCCGTGTTTGTTGAAGCCATTGGAAAACATCATTATCCACTTTGATGTTTTTGTTTTTATTTTTTGCTCTAACACAATTTTTTTTGTTTGTTTTTATTTTAATGATTTTATGATTTGTTTGCACTTTTTGATTCAGCTTTACTTTTTTCGTTGCTGGGTGAATTGCTGACTGGTTTCGATTGGCTTTAGTAGCAAATGAATGCCAAGAGGGACTGGTGCCGAGCACGTGCGTTCAAAATGGCGCCGTCTTTATTTCCCTTTGACAGCAACTATGACCCACAGCTTTGGTCTCTTTCGCTCAGGGCGGGGCGGGCACTTCTGCTTCCTCTGCCAATGATGGGCACAACAGCTTTCTTTGCCTGCTTGACATGTTTTTGGTTTCATTTGGCTTCACTATGACCATGGCAATCTATTAGGCTGGGATGATGGGGAGTAGCTTGGGCTGAGGTGAAACTCTGACTAAAACGTTCTCAATCCCTGCGCACACTCACAGATTGTATCTGCATCACTTGTGTGCCTCATTTCTGCTCATGTGTCTGAGTAAAAGGAGATCGAACGCTGCAGCTTAATGTGGTTACAGTGCTGCTACAGAGCCTTGGAAAACGTTTTCGCACCTCTTGAGCCGTTTCACCTCATAACCAGAAATATCTACATGATGCTGTGGGATTTTACATGATGGGCCAACACAAATACGAGAAAACACATCATCTCTATCACAGATATATTTCTTTGCTAAATCTGGAAATCCTTAAAGGGGCAGCGTCATGTATTTCACAGTTATGTGATGCGTTATGTTGGTCCATCACATAAAATTCCCCCCAAAAATTCTGTTTTATAAACAGAACCAGTAATAGCAGACACATTATGCAACAAAACGGCAACATGCGTAACTTTTGGTTGACGGACTGTTTAATTAGAAAACTGCAGTGTCGATCTTCTTCACCTGCTTTTATCTGTTGAAAGGCTGCAAATATATGTGTATTGTTTTCCTTTCTGAAATGTAAGTTTGTTTCATTTTGTTAAACCTGTGTCCATGTGGGCACCAACTCCAACATGACCATATTTAACACTTATCAGTTTTATTTATTTCCATTGATCATTTACTTTAAAAGCATAGAAATATTTAACTTTGACGGCTATAAATTTGGAGTGTTAAGTGGTTGTGTTTTTATAGAGTTTGTGCCCACTGCACATTCAAAAAAAAAATAAAAATTAAAGGAGAATAAATAAAGGTAAGAGAAGGAAAATATTGTAAATATGATTTAATTCACATTCCAGGGCTTGGTCTGAATGAGAGTTTTATATTTCTCCTTCTAAAAGGATAATATTTGTGACATGAAGCCATTTTAATTAAGTTTCCTACTTTTGTTCGCAGACCTTATTGTCTGGAGAGAGAAAGCAATAATAAACAAGCAAATTAGTGCATCAAGAGGCTGAAGTAAAGCTAAATTAGTTCACTTTGATGCATTCAGTTAATATTCAGTTGTCTCTGCCCATCTATTATTTGTAGCTTTATTTCTTTTTTAGGTTTTTCTGTCTTTGTGATTTGGATTTCAAACAGTCTTGAATTATTCCCTCCTGTCAACAACAGAGGCGTCTCGGTCCACCTGAAGTGTGGCTCTGAAACGGTCGTTACGACCACAGACTGTCTAAATTGGACTGGACACAGATGGAGATTTGACTCACTCTTTGCTGTTCCTTTCTGTCTGATTTGAGTCAAAAATATATCATTAAATTAGTCCCTTCAGCAGAGCTGCCTGCATAAAACTAACCAAACAAAAAATATCCTCGGCGCTCATTCAGACCAAGCTGCAGCCTTTGTCTGTGTTTTGTGCGCTTATCACTTTGTATGCATGTCTAAGCGTGCATATAAACGCTCGTTTTGCATGTGGTGTAGGTGGAAACGTGATTACCGGTGTGTTGCCTCTGCGTTTTTTTTAAATTCCTATTTAATTCCTGTTGTCTCGGATCATGCACGCCTACGTTCACTGACATTGCATGCTTTTCTCTTGCTCCCCTGCTGTTTAGCAATTTCTCATTTGTTCCCCTCCCCAATCTTTTAGGATGCACACTTCTACCACGACCTGCAGTCTGGGCTCTGCTGATGAAAATGCAGTGACTCAGGCCGATGAGGGACTCAAGACCGTCCACCTGGAGCTCACGGAGACGTGTCTGGACATGATGGCGCGATACGTATTCTCAAACTTCTCTGCTCTGCCAAAGAGGTTTGTGGAGGCCTGTTTGTCATTGTGTTTGGATGCGTCTCTCTCTAAACCAGATGTTTAAATGGCTCGTCACCAGTCGGGACCAAACGGGCTGGAAATGGTCAAGATTTTGGCCACCGGTTGATTTCTCTCGCAGTTTCAGTATTTCTGCTGGATTGTTGTATTTGTGGAGTAAAACAAAGACCTGCTGTCGCCTCAGGTCTCCGATCGCTGAGTTTCTGTTAGCCGGAGGTCGCAGCATGACCTGGTTGGTGGGCAACAAGCTTGTCACCATCACAACGAGCGGCGGTGTCAGAACGCAAGCGTTGCTGGGAATGGATATGTCAGAGCGTCTGGGAGGCGGCGGAGGAGAAATGACCAGGTGCTGCTAGCTTTGTTGTTTTTTTCACCTATCTGACAACCTTGCATGTACTTCTTATCAAGTAGCAAAATTTCCTCTTAGCTGTTTGTCTTTAAGAAAAAACACATTTACTCCATTTACAGACAGTTTTATAGACAGTCTGAATTTCCTAAAGGCAAAGATTTTTTTTCATTTTTTCTTTCTTCTACTACTTCGCTCGATCTGCGAGGATCTCTGAACTTCCTTTGCTCCGTTGCGTTTGCAGGTCAGATCCGTCTCTTCACACCCGAATGACTAAAGAGGCTCCGGCCAAACTGGAGTCGCAGTCCAGTCAGCAGCAGAGCAGAACAACTCGGACTCGTGTCCGCTCCAGGTCAGGTGAGACTTGCTCGGTTTTGCAGACGATCGCCAGCTGTAGAGCTCCTGAAATCAGGTAGCTTTCATTTCCTCCTGGACGTGTCACTCTGTCCATGTGGTTGTTTCCTGACTTTCTCTGTGTTGTTTTTATTCTTATTCTCTAAATTGCTGGTCTGCGTTCTTTTTCTTCCTCTTTTCGGCGTAAATGTCTCATCCGAGCATCTTTTTGTCTGCAGTTCGGTCTGAAGGACGTCTGTCTTTGTGATTAAAGAGACTCCCCTCGTTCTGCAGGTGGCCACGCTCTGCGTGCCGGTCCTATTCCGAGTCTCAGTCCTCTGGTTTCCCCCTCTGAGGGAGAGTTGGCCTCTCCACTGTCTCCTTCCTCTGGCCCCAGCCTGGACGGCGTCGGTCCTCCCTCCTCCACAGCTGCCACTCTGTCTGCCCCCCCTCCGCTCAAAGACAACCCCAGCCTCGCCGAGTTTGTTCCAATGCTCACTCAAGGCTGGGCAGAGATCTTCATACGGAGACCCTCAGGTACATCATCCCGGGGCTAAGCCCTTCCTGTTTTTTTTTGTTTTTTTTAAATCCACTATTACAACCTGATTCAACGGCACAGTTGTGTCTCCCTGGCGCGCCATCACCTCAGGTAACACCAGCTGGCTGATGTGTCTGGAGAACCCACCCAGCCCCTTCTCTTCTGAGCTGGGCAACTTGCCGCTGCAGGAGCTCTCCACCGTCCTGATGGCGATGGAGGGAGTGAAGGAGCCTCCTACTCAGACAGCCAGCGCTCCAGCCAGCACGGCCGCCCCAGCGCCAACGTCCGCCTCCGAACCGCTCACTCAAACACACAGCAGCGCCGGAGGAAAGGCCAACCTGTTTCAGCGCTCCAGCACCGGTGAGTTTCAGGATAAGGAGTCTTGGCGGACATGTTTGGGGTTGTAACGAAATCTCATAATATTAAAACGTCACAATGTGTCTCGCTGAAGTGACTAGCATGGCCTCGTCTGATGAAGATGCTCCAGCTGTTAAATAATTTGTTTGGGTTTCCAGTAGGAACGATAAACAGTGACAGAATAAAACAATTGTGGAGGAGACAGAATAAAACTGTGTGCACTGCATCATTATTTAATTTAATAATGTACGTTGATATTTAAATTAACAAATAACTAAAACACAAGAATGAAAGAGAACGCAGAGCATGCACATTGCTCTTTGATTGTTTTTGTTCAAAGTGGCAGACATTACAAATGGCTGTAATGTCTGCCATGGTGTCAGACTACCTGGCTTCATGTACTGAGATAGAGAGTGAAAACAGTCACGGTGAGCGCCTTCTGTTTGGTTACTTCTTGCTTGTTGCTCCTTGGCCCTGACGGTGTTATTTACCGTCAGGGCATTGCCTCAATTGCTATGTTTAATGGTGCCGACAGTGGTGGTTTCTTACATGAGCAATATGGGCAAATGCCCAGGGCGTTATGTTTTTAGGGATGGCACGAGACCATCACACATTTTAGCACATAAATGAAATATTTAATATTGGTAAAATGTATTAAGTATTTAATATCTAGGTGTTCTTACGGGAATATGGATCTTTCAGATTATTTTGAGAAGCAATTTCGATCATATTTTACATTTTATTGTGTCATGTAGCTGTAGCTGGTCTTGGTCTTGACTTGGTCTCGGGTTAGGTGGTCTTGAACACAACACTGGCTCTAGCTTCACGTGGTTCACATTCTCTAAAATCCTGTTGAGCACCGTTTACCATCCAGTTTTTAATCTGTTAACATTTAGTAACATTAACAGTTCATTTTGTGTCAGACCAGCCAAAATATTGGGTATGTGTGACAGATGGAGCACAGAATCTTTAATACAAAATTTAAAATGCATAGTGCATTGTTTTCAATCCGCTGTGAGTTAAACCATATTTTCTCAGTAGGGTTTAGCTCTGGGATTTGACTAGGCCTTTCTGACACACATCCTGTACTTTAAACCAGTGGTGTACAAACTTTTTGCCACACAGACCAAAATCTTCAAATTGAAAGAAGTCTGGGAATAGAACAATATTTATCTCCTTTTAAAAACTAAACACATATTCTCTGTCCATTCCTGTAATTTTAACAATAAACCAAACAGCCAATATTTGAATCAAAGTAATAGTCATATTTTTTCTATTAACAAGATACAAAGTCATTGTAGATCTCAAACATTTCTTTTCTAAAAAAAAAAAAAAAGGTTAGAATTGATTGAAAATCTCACCGTTGAAGTTTTGAATAAAATCTGTATTGTCTGTGGACAAATTGTGGGAAGGTTTAACTTCTATAGATGCCAAGTGTGTCTGCATCCCAGTAAGTAATTATGTCCTTCAAAGCTCTGCGCTCAGTGCCGACTTACCCATCACTGCTTAGTCTCATTGGATCGGTTCCCAAATGACCAGCTGGTAAGAAAACGGACTAATCCTTTTAATCTTTTTAATTCTGTAATGTTTTTTTGCAGCATTTTTGTTCTTTTTTTTATTCTGGACTTCATTTTTGAATTTATTTTGTCTTTACTCTTTATTTACTCCCATTATCACATCTTGTTTTTTCACTCTTTTTTCCCCCCTCCTTTTTCCTGATTCTTCATCATGGTGGAAATGCTGGTTTGTGATTGGCTGTGGTGTGTTTTGTGACTCGATCTGCCCCCGTTTCCCCCCCCAACCCCCCCGTTCGTCCCGCCTGCAGTGGGCGGCTCGCTCTGGTCTCTGGGTTTGGCCAGTGGCCCCCCAGGACCTCCGGCTCCTGGCAGGTTGCACAGGAGCATTTCCTGGGCAGGTACCGTCATCATGTGTGACCCCACTCCTCTTCCTCCCCCCCTGCTTTCCAGAAAACCCCTGCGGTGGTATATTTCTCCTCACTTGTACAAAACGGTGGTTCTTTCAGACACAACACAGAGACACTTTTGAGTCACTCTGGAAAATTTGAACTGAAATATTGAACAGATGAGCCAAAAATATGTAACATCTGAATCCATTTAGGAAACACGTTAACTTTTAAAACAGTAAGGGGAATGGGTAATGAATATCTTGCAACGTTTTCTTTTTTTCCACTTACAGAGTAAAGATTACGAGAATAAAGTGATACGAAATGAAAGTCTTAATAGTATGAAAATGAAGTCGTATTATTTTGTGAATACATCTGTAATGTTACCAGAATAAAGTTGTGGAAAACACGTCGGCATCAGCTTATAATCAGGAGCAGGAAACGGCCTGCTGCTGCTATTATGACTTTATTTTCACATTACTGCGACGATTCTGGTAATCTTACAACTTGTAATGTTGACTTTGTGTTATTTTGATTTTTATTCTCATAACAATATGACTATTTGCAATTTTTTAATTTTTCTTAGCCCTAAGGCTTTGTGGTAGAAGGCAACACTTTCCCCTGAAGTCTCCTCTGAAAACATCGGCATCTTTAGCTTTCCAAACTGGTGAAATCCTGACAGGATCTTGTAAATAATGGAGCTCAGATCTTCACAATTTTCATTAGGAACAATTATGAAATCACTAAACTATAACTTTGTACTTTTCACTCCAAGTGAAAGTACAAAGTTCCTTTAATTCGTCTTGTTAGTTTTCTAACCTGCAGACATGAAGTAAAACTCTGTTGTGTCTTACGACCGGCTGTTTTACGCTCAAACTTTGTACAAGTTGGGAACCTCAACGTCCCTGCTTTCCATGAACGTCTCTTCCTAACCCCGGAGGGAAGGTCATCTGTGACCGATGACCAAGTCGTGCCTCCTCCTGGATCAGTCAATCAGTAGCAGAGGAAAAGTGGAATTAGTGTAGTTTTTGACCCCTCCTTTGATTCTTTTTTTTCTCTCTTCTCTTTCCTTCCCAATGCCTAACTCTCAAATTTCTGAAATATACCCCCAGGCAACTTCTGTTAACAGGAAAGCCCAGATCTCACTAGGCACTTCTTTGCTCTACTGGGAAGCCAGTGAAGCAGGGAAGCGGCCAAAGTTGCATGAATCTGAATGATAATGGAGTAGGCGAGCGTGTGATGAATAGAAACAACCTGCCGAACTGATCTGAGCTCCTCAGCACTTCTGTGTGTGATTCTCTGTAGGTTGTGACCACCTCCACGGGCCTGAGCCTGCTGATTGATGTTCAAATGTGTTTGATTCCGTTTCCATGTCAGAATGAATAATTTGCCTCTAAAATCTTCAGAGAGACTGTGTCAATAATAACTACTGACAGCTGCTGAAATATTTACTCCTTCACTCTTACAGCAGTACGTGTCTGTGTGACTAACCTGGATGTAGCTCGGAGTGAACTGTTTGACGCGTCTCTCCCGTCTGTAACGACCGATGTGTCCTGCTGCAGACTCCGTGGTGGTTCCGGAGGAGGGTTCAGGGGTCGCGGCAGAGAACGCCCCCCTCGAGTGGGTGGAGGGTGAAGAGTTTGAGCCGATTCCCTCCGAGCCCATATTCATGTCTGACAAGGCGCCGCTACCCGGACCGCTCAGCAGGGTGAGTCGAACCGGCTGTGGCCGAAACGAACCCAAGGAAGCCGATTCTGACGAGAACCGATGGTTCCTGCAGGAATTTGTTTCTCGAGGGTTCGATGTGATAAACGGGCTGCTTTTGTGTTTTGCTTATGACTGCAGCGAAGAACAAAAACAGTTTATTTTCACCCACTCGTGTTCATGCTTAATGGAGTATGGGGGCCGTTTTAAAAGGACAGAATGAGGAAAGTGGTGAGAGCAAATGCTTTTTATTAGATTTATTCACATTTGCGTTTATTTGCAGGCCTGCCAGGATAACATGTTTTGCTGAGCAGTAAATGACCCTGCAATTCATTTTCTTTTTGGAGGCAACTTTCAAGTAATGTATTAATGCAAGTAGTATCCTCTCTAAGATCAATAAACTTTAAATTGAATCCCTTAAATAAATTAAGTTTATTAAATAAACATAAATTCACACTCAAATGTATGAGTTTATGAAAATGTTCAGCAAGAGGCTGTCACCAAGATTAATTTAAAGTTTTTTTTATGCTTGACCTTTTTATTCTACGTCACTAAATGATGATGGAAAACACTGTTGGAGACATTATTTAAAAAAAAAACAAAACAGGATTGTCGTATTTGTTTTATTGTAAATGTGTTGGGGTCTTTTTATAATTTGGGACAGAAAAAAAACATGTTTGGTAGATTATAAATAATATTTTTGTTGCACCCTGATGCATGCTGGGATCATCTGGTTTGGTTATTATGCCATAAATCAACTTGATTCCTCTTGGAACTAAATTGGATATATTCTTTATTACTTTCTGTAAGTAATAAAATCTTGTTTTTTTATTTTATTTTATTTATTTATTTATTTTTATTTTTTTACAATTTTACGAGTTAATCTGCTAGAATATGCTGAAGGAATAATGCTGTCTGTCCCTTCTGCCTGACTTTCAGTCCTCCTCCACCTCCAGTCAGGATGATGAGAAATCCACTCTGGAGGAGGTGAGCGAAGGAGCGATTCCCATCGACCAGCCCAGCGTCGGCCCCTCCACCCCGGGCAGCCAGGGCCCCGAGCTTCCTTTTCAGAGCCACTCTCAGTCCCAGGGTCACGGACTGAACAAGTCGAGCTCGTCGCCGGAGCTGCAGACGCTGCCAGAGGCCTTCACCAAAGCAGCGCTGGAGTCTGAGAAAAGCCAGGGCGATGCCGCTCGGCCCAGGGCGCCCTCAGATGGCAAGCCTCAGACACTGCAGCAGCCCTGCCCGGACAAGGACAAAGCAGAGGGGAGCACTGGGGCGGACTTCAACGGCCCAGGAGGTCCGGTCCAGGGCGGCGAGGGCTCCGGCTTGCCGTCTCAGAGCGGAGGAGCTGCCATGAAGTTGGCTTTTCCGGCAGCGCCAGCTCTGCCTGGACCCATCTCCCCCGGCGGAGGCCACCGACCCCGAGGTCACACCATCTCCGTCTCTGCCCCGTCCTCCAGGAGAGAGAGGAAGACCGAGAGGGACTCATATCACGGCCGACCCGGACCCAGCAACGCAGAGAAGATCTCCGGACTGAGTCCCAGGTAGTCGGGGCAGATTGTTAAAGGCAGGACTGGACCTGGGCTTAAATCCACTGTTAATGGACAGATGGGGGGGAAAAACCCAAAGACCTGAACTTGATCTGCATTTTCTGCAGTAGGAGTTGTGCTAAATCTCTACTCAGGTTTTAAGTTTATTTTTTTGAAGATTACATTTAGAGATTTACATTTCCAATTCATGAGGGATTCTCTGGAGCCCCGTTGAGTAGTCAGTGTCTTCCCTGCACCTGACTGATCAAATGTGAAGGTGGCTTCACTTGTAGGCTGAACAAATCAATCCATCTTAGGAGCAAAAAGTTTTATATCTAAAATCTAAATTTAGTCAGAATACCACTGTAAAATAATTTCTAAAATAATATTAAATAATAGCGGCTATCCAGATTTATTTGCTTTTAAAAGCTTCATTTATGTTTACCTCTTTAGAATTTTTTTTTTATTTGAAGATTCTCATTCCAGGATCATTTCTTGAAACACTTTTTTTTCTTTTTAGCTTTGTCTTCCTTCAGCTATATCACTCTCCTTTCTTTGGGAATGAAGCCAATAAGCCGCTGCTGCTGCCCAAAACTCAGGTAAGCCGCCTCTTCCCCATGCCGGTCCGATCCGATCCAGCCAATGAAAACGAAGCGCTGCCGCATAAACGGTCAAAAGAAAGCAAACTCTCTTCCAGTTTCTAGGAACATATTGAAAATGATCTGGTCTTCATGATGTGTGGAAATGATTGAAATGTAACCACAAGTGCACGAGACACAGAACTGGTTCCATACTGGTATTTACATGTATAAAAAAAATAAGTCAAAAATTAAGTAAATCCTTTCATTCAACTGCTTGTATTGATTTCATGACCTGGTAAAGATTGGATCATTCTCTATGTCTGGAAATGTAAGATTTTACATTCTATAAATGATGCAGAATTACTGCAAAAGTGTGATAATTTGTCTCAGAAATGTAAATACCTGACGAACGCCATTAACCCTTCGTTGTCCGCTGTGCGTCCGTCCTGTCTCCCCGGCTGCAGGTGATCGATCGGGCTGTGAAGGTTCTGGACCAGATGCCTCCTTACGACACCCATAAGATTGGAGTCGTGTTTGTTGGAGTTGGCCAGGTGGGAACACACCTCTCATTACATCATACGCAGCTGTGAAAAGCGATTTGGGGAGACCAGCAGCAATTAAAAACACCTGGTGTAACTGTGCACCTACTGAGCTTATCACACCGAGTGCTTTCAGGGCAGCGCTGCTGCTGAGAGCATAAATGAAGGCTTAATGCAGGAATTTGATTTGTAAAGCATTTTTATTACAACTGAAGGTAATAGTTTCTTGATCATGTTATAAAATGGCTCCATGTGTCTGGAAAACGCACAACACCGCCCCTTTAAGGAAATGTGGAACAGTAATTACCCCTCGTAACAGGTTCATAATGCATAATGTTTAAAACCTTTCAGACTACTTCATGTTGTCAGATTCTGTTCTTCATTACTTGAAAACTGCAGATTATTTTCTCTGGTTACTTCGTCTCATATATATGTTACCATTTCTTTAATGATGCAAGACATTTAGGTGTGGCAAAATGGCAAACGCAGAAGGAGCTTGTAAGCATTTGCAAATACTTTCTCGCAGCACCGGCCACCTTCATCCTCTTCGTTCTCTCTCTTCAGGTCAACAACGAAGTCGCCATCCTGTCCAACGAATACGGGTCGAACCGCTACGCCGCCTTCCTCACCGGCCTCGGCAAACTGATCCACCTGAAGGACTGCGACCCCGACCAGATCTTCCTGGGCGGGCTCGACCAGTACGGCGACGACGGAGAGTTCACCTACTGTTGGCACGACGACATCATGCAGGGTGCGTGCACTCGCGTCACAACGCCGGCTATTTCCACGGCGGCTGGCGGTTAAGTTTTAAACGAAACCGTGTGTCCACAGCCATCTTCCACATAGCCACGCTGATGCCGAACAGAGAGAGCGACAAGGGCTGCTGCAACAAGAAGCGACACATCGGCAACGACTTCGTCATGGTGGTCTATAACGACTCGGGGGAAGATTACAAACTGGGCACCATAAAGGTAAATGTGCGAACTCATTCGGAGAAATCGCTAGAAGGCATTTCAGCTTTCATTACAAAGTACGTTTCTCTCCGTTTCAGGGTCAATTTAATTTCGTCGAAGTCGTTATTAAGCCACTGGACTATGAATGTAATCTCGTGTCCCTGCAGTGTCGGAAAGGTGAGAGTTGATTGCTGCCATGTTTTGCTCCTCGTCATCATCGATGTGACTCATTTTATTCTACATTTTCAGACCTGGAGGGCCTGGTTGATACCACCGTTGCAAAAATCGTATCTGACCGCAACCTGCCACTCTTAGTTCGACAGATGGCTCTGCATGCAAATGTGAGTCTGATCTGCAGAGTCTTGTGAAAATATTCACCTCTGTTGAAGTTTTTCCACGTTTTGTCAAGTTTCACCCAGAAACCTCACTGCTTCTCATTTGTTTTTCTATCATAGACCAACTCAAATTAGTATAATTGTGAAGCAGAAGGAAAATGATAGTTTTAGACTTCACATCAGTCTCCTTCGCTTGTATTCGTGTTTCTCGATCTTCGTGATGATGTTTGTTCACTAATGTTCTCTAACAAACCTCTGATTATTTGGATTCATACCGAGATGGAATGAATCCAGTCAGACTGACGGTTTATTAATTAGGTGGAGTTTGAAGGCGTTACATTAGGAGATTAAATATTTATGCATTACACACTTTCCATAAAAGTTTCAAAGTCATGTTTTCTTTCTCTTTTCTGCTACTTTATCATATAAATATCCCAATAAAATAAATGGAGGTTTGTGAAATTGACATTAGAAAATATGAAATACTTTCAGGTGGTAAAAAGCACAGAAGCACTAAACCAACATTGAAGGAAAAAAAAAAAAAAACTTGTGCACACTATGTAGATTTTTTTTGTTTTTATCTATTCTGTGAAAAGACTCTTCACATTCAGTTTCTTCCCTAAACTCCCCCAGAATAAATCTTTGTTTCCTGTGTCTAGATGGCTTCTTTGGTGCATCAGTACAGAGCGAATCCCTCGGATGCTTATGCTTCCAAGTGGCTTGCCAGATTACGACACATAAAGAGGATCAGGACCAGAGTGAGTTTAAAAACTAGAGAACTGAAACGTTTTCCACTTAACGTTTGCCAGTCTGAATTTAAACCGTCTTTTCCCAACTCTGTGCCGCGCCTCAGGCTCAAGAAGACATCCAGTCCCGTTCGACTCCGGGAATCTCACTGACCCAAGGACACACTCAGCAGAATAAAGCATTTCAACAAGGAGCTTCAGCTCCGACTCCCGAAATGTCGGGACAGAGAAAAAGACTTGTTTCGACGGTGGATGACTTTACTGATTTTGTTTGACTTTGTTTGCAGGGGTGACTTTGTTTGGCAGACTGAACACACACGCACACACGCACACGCACACTCTTTCTCACACACACAGAAACACAGACTGGTTGTGTTTGTGTCAACTACTGTATGAATTAAAGTGATAATTTAAAAAAAAAATCTGAAATCATGTGTTCCTTATGGGGTTTTTTTTAGCATGAGGAAACAAAGCCAATTTGTAGAAAACATGAGTTTTGTCTTTCAGTGATGAGGTAGTTGTAAGCTCTTTACCAAGAGTCTGAAGACAATATTTTATTTATGGCCAAATACTTGAGATGCTCAGATCTAGTTTTTTTTACTCTGGGGCATCTTACCCAGTCCTGATGTTTTTCTTTCAGTATCTCCTGGTAAAAATATTTTCTGAGCAGGAATGCTTTTTGAACATTTAGTGTTATTTCTGGTCATTTCGCTTCCTCCTCTTGTGCCTTTTGTAGTTTTATCAGTTGGAGATTTCATATCAACATCCTTGGGAGTCATATTTTGATGTAATGGCTAATTTAAAAACGAACAAAAAAACCCAATAATAGTTTAAATACAACTAAATGTGGTTTCATAACTACTGATGGATTTTATGCAGCATGAAAATCCATCAGAAGATTAAGTTGACTCAAATGGGGATCAGGTGTAATAGAAAATGTTCAGTTATCCAAAATAAGTTTAATACTTTTTTTTTTTTTTTTTTTTTTTTAAAAAAAAAAAAAATGGGGTAAAAA